TGTGATGACATAGTATCTATAATCCTTTTTTTGATAAAGTGGAACCCCTTAAAAAAAGTGTCAGATGATAAAATTTAGAGAGGAAAATTTAAACTCTGAAGTTCTCATAAAATCATTTTCTCATAATAATTAGAAAAAACTATATTATTTTTGGCACAATAAAAATAATTATGGTTTGTTATAAGATATAAATTAATAATAACTAGTACTATGATTTATCATAAGAAGACAATTCAGGCAATAAATTATAAATTAATAGTATTAAATTTGATGTGAGATTTTACAATCAGTCATAGGAATAACTCTGATTCAGCACCAACAGGTTCAATAGAGGGTGCATGAACAGGTTGAAGGGCAGGGTGATCCAGATAAAGACAATAATTCCAAACACTTTCACTCCTCTGTAAGATCTGAAACTGGTTTTTCCTGAGATTTGGGGATTGCAAAGAGTACTTAGTCATATCATCATGGCACCGTTTTCCCACTTCGTTAACGAGTTTCTCACAACAAGTGCTGCTAACGGTGTCGTTGCCAAAAAATATAGCTGAGAAAACCTGGTCACCACAATCTGGGTATAGCTTCGCAGCACAGTGCTGTAAATACACTTCATATGATGACAATGGCCTTGGCGCATAATCTGTTTCATCGGAAGGACTAGGTGATGGTTCAGCAGGAACCTCGTCTGAAAGCCCCATTTTCAGCATCAGACTAAAACTGATCATAAGCACCACCATAAGACAAAAGCTGTGGAATGTAGCCATTGTTTCAATGGTCGAGGCTTTTGATGATGACTTGCAAAATTTTATGATTGCTTTGAAATGGTTTGGAACACTATATTTATACTAGAATTTCCATAACATTTACTTGCGTCGGTTTTCGATAAGTTTAAAATAAATTTGCTTTGCGTTAATAAAATCATACAACGTATGGTTGCCATTTAATTAATGAAAACCAAGTTTTCCCTGCATATTGCAATATGATGTTTCAACTGTACGTAACACCCTGCAAAATTAATGAAGTTGTTACTTTAGCGGAAAGAATAAATCTAGCAGTAGATAAGTAACTAGGGTATCATCATGAAATCATATTCAAACATCTATCTATTTATGATACCTTTAAGTAAACTTGTTCATGAACATTCTTCTTAGACATAAGAAATAAGAAGAAAGGGTAAAATAATCTTCTTAATAATAAATTAAAAAAATAATTTTAAAATAATATAAATATTATAATAGCTTATTTATAAAATAATTCTAACATAGAAGTTTATTTCAATTTATTTATTTATTTTTGTTTCTTCAAAAGTTGTTTAAAAGAAATTAATCTAAATACTTATAATATTGTCATTGTATTTAATTATTTGGCTTGATACACCATGGTACAATGACACATTTTATATGAATTTACAACATCATTACATCATTATAATGATGAATAGAAACGAACTCCTAAAGAAAACTAAAAGAATAGATAAGAAATTATTGAAAAAAGAATTATTTTATTTATTATATAATTTATTATTATTATATTATTTTTCTTAATTGAATCTTGCCGTTCTTTTAATATTTCAAAGTTAGAAATATTAACCACATCAACAAATAATTAGACATATGTAACGTATTTACTTCAAAATCATTATAACTATAATTAATACAGAATTTTAAAGTAGACAGAATCTTAAACGCATAAATCCTTAATTCTGGACTAGAGGGTTTATTAGGGTTAAAAGCCTATATCATATACACTCTCCATCTCTTAATTTTATTGAGCTCTTGAGCAATAACAATTGTTATGAAATCAGCGGTGTGTAGCTTTTAAGGGCAGACAGAGACTTATAACATGTTCCTCATAACTCGTTCTCCGTTGTTGCTTATGAGGATATATATTCTGTTTAGCACTCCCCTAGTGATGCCAATACATAGAAGTATTTCATATTACGATCACCATATGAAAACCATGTTAAGCGTGTTTTTTATTTTCAAAACAGTTCCTCGTATAAAAGACCTTCATTCATATCTTTTTGAGCTTTAAATTCCTGTTCAATGAGATCATATTTTACGCTCAGTATCCATTTTATGTGTACTTCTGCAAGACCTTCTTTCATAATCATAACGTTTTCATGCACCTTCTCCAATATGTGGTGGTCACAATGTTTGAGAGTGGAATATGTTGGTTATATTGGTTCAGCTATTTTCTGTTTTTAGTTTGTATTTGTTTTGGTAAGTTCTATGGAAGACTTGCAATACGGAAGTGATGTAATCAGCTTTCATGTGACGTATCATGCAATACGGCATCGAAGCGAGTTCATCACTCCATCCGCATAACTACACATGATCTCCATCTAATTTTCAAATCTTTCCCTTTCTTTTTTTTTCTTACAATTTTTGTGATTATTATTCTTTAAGAATCATGAATTGAACAACATACTTCTAATAAATTTTTTTCTCTAATAATGTTTTTGACAACAACAAAAATAAGGTGGAGAAAGGGTCACAAATAATAAGCAAATAACAGAAGAAAGAATCAACATGCAGTTCACTCAAAATTAAATACAGTAGCTCTTGAAGATTAGGCAAGAACAAAAAATGAATCCACCTAAAAAGCTAATAATTTCATAATTCACTACAAGAAATAATGGATTTATCGATAAACAAAATCCATCAATAACTATAAAAATCCGTCGATAAATATATATCATCGACGGAAAAAAATTTATTGAAAATTTCATTATCAGTAAATATTATCAACGAATTTGAATAATTTGTCAGTAATTAACGATAAATATATTCATCGAAAAATGTTGTAGATTACCGATAGATATATCCATAAAAAAGTATTATAGGTAATTACCAACAAAATTTTTCGTCGGTTAAAGGATTCGATTATTGTGTTCAACATAGTTGTTATTTATGGATATATCCGTCGGTAATATCCAAATTTCTTTCAGGTTTCATTTCATTTTCCAGTAAACCATTTTTCCTGCATAATAACACACATTTTATACCACAACAACACCAAATCCAGTTCAACTATTTCAAATTAAATTCAACTTAAATATAAGACAAATAACCTCAATTGAAATCAAACATAATTAAAATAATCTCAATTTAAACAAATGACATATAGTTCAAACTATCTATAATGAAACTTAATTTGTAAGAGTAACAATGGTTATAAAGTAGAATAATATGAAATACAATATTATTTGAAAAAATATCTAATAATGAGAATAATTAGGAGATTGTTGCCCTCGTTGTGTATTGTCTTGTTGTTCTGGGTTGTCCTATTGTTCTTGATTGTCTTCTTGTTGTTGAGGTTGTTGTTGCTGACTATCTTGTTGGTTGTGTTGGCGCTACTGAATGAGGGATTATGCACCAGGAGGTAGGAATTGAACGACTGCACCTATAAGTGATTGAAACTCCCGAAACTGGTGCTCTAGTTGCTCATTATGCTCCCTTGTTCGATGAATATCTTCTTCTTGTGTAGATAATCATTCCCTCAGTTGATTCATCTCTTCAAAATCAACAGAGGAGCTGGATGCTTGAGTCTGATGCTTGAGAGTATCAAACCCACCTTGTAACCATGAGCAAGCTGTCCAGCTCCATATAATCTTCACTTATTTTTTCTTCCAACAGTGTCCACCCAACAACGATACCTAATAAGATCATCCTCTGCAGAGTCTGTAGGAGTAGACTCTGTTTCGCCAACACAGGACCAACAGATGACCTAGCTTGTGAAAGTCTAGTATGAAATTCCTCCTATTAGTACAAACAAAGAAATGTTGTGATGATATGATAAATTTTACATATCATAAAATAAATCAAAAGTGAAGGAACTTACATGTGTTTTCTTAGACCTTTCATCAACAAATTGACTTGTATTTTTTCTTATATGGGTTTGTTGGAAGATTTCATCAACAAACACTAATCTCCCAACATAATAATATTAAGCTACTTTATGTTGTCAAATCCAATTTAACATTGAACTTTCAAGCAATTAGGCTTGAATAAAAATGAAATCAGTGTACTAAAACATATTTACATATAAAGATGAATTGAAATTATAGTTATTACAATTAGTAAGCTTGTAATGTGCACATATTCGTACAATAAAACTACTAAGCTAACCTAACAATAAAAAAGGAATTAGTGTACTACTGACTAGCTTTTACAATGAAAAGTTTCAAACATAAATCACCTTCACTTCAAACCAGTTTTGCAAGGTCACTCAAACCCAATCTTAATGTTTAGTGTGAACCAGTGAGAAAATAATAAAAGAAAATCACAAAATATTAGGAACTTAAAAGGAAAAAATGGACACAAAATTAACCATCACAATGTCGATACTCTCCTCCAAATATAAATTTCATTGCTCCTAATATTTTACATGCCACTAAATTTCACTTCATTTATTCTCCAATCAGTTCTTCATAACAAATATGAACAACAATATTATGAGGTCACTCCATAAGCAAAACTACAATCTTATACAAGCTGATGACCCTGCCTATGCAAGGTTATGTATAAGGACACTCCTCAATTCCTTCACATTGCAAAGAGCCTCTAACACAAGAGTACGTCATATTTCTTTTCTTTTTTATTCTCCTCTAATTAACAGGTATTCACAATGACACTATATTGACAAAAGCTCACAAGCCACTCTCAAAACAAAAATTGTAAGCATGTATAGTTTAAAGACAACTTGATAGCAACTACCTTGTGTTGCTAAAATATAGACAATGCAAGTTGCCTAAGCATGAAAAAAATGAAACAAGTATTGAGACTCTACGATGCATAATAGATAGGGATTTGGAAGTCCACAATGATAATGCGGTTAGGTTAAGTAAAACTTTGGATGCCTTATTTTGATTGGGAAGATGGCATAAAGAAAAGAGGGGAAGTTGCAATGAAGCTTACAGAGAAGAAAGGGTAAAAAAGAATTGGAGAAATCAAATTTCGGGGTTGGCACTGCAGAGCATACCCTGAGACAATGTCCTCAACCTACTTATCGATGCCTAGACAAGAAGAAGTGAGGCGCGCCGATGGCACTGCCGAGTGTAGTGGAAGAAGTGACTGCAGGCAACCGAGGTCACCACCCACCCACCTGAACCAAATGATAGAGCATAACATAAAATTCAATTGGGTCAAAGTACAGGGATTACTTCATAAGTGAAAGACTTGCCTGGCCGTATCGGGAGACCGAGTTTTGAGGAGAAAAGCTAAGGATGTGGGCTTGGAAGCTGGTTTAGTGATGGTGGATTTGATAAAGGAGAATGATGGTGGCTCGCGGAGGTTTGGACTGTGATGGGGGTTTAGGGGTGGCGCGACCTGCCGAGGCCACGTATGGCGATTCACGGTGGTCGCGGAGGGTGGTGCACTGCAATTAGATGTAGGTGACAATAGGAGAGTTGGATGGTGGAAACTGAGACACAAGGTGTAGGCAGGGAGGCTAGGGGTTGTTGCTGCACTATGGAGGTTCTAGAGAGGTGAAGGTGCAGAGGAAATTAGGTCAAAGGGTGAGTTAAAAAAAAAAAGTCCACAAATATGGAAAGATATATTTCTCGGTAACTAACAATTGATAACAAATGATTACTAAGAGTAAATTCCACAAATATTTTAAATTTCTATGTCTATTGATAATCAATTATTTTTTGACAGCTATAGATTTGTTGATAACTAATTATTAATTTACCGATGGATATATTCGTTGGTAAGACCAAATTCCACAAATACTTTTATCCTTTGGTAATGTTGATCGATAATCACTTATTTTTCAATGATTATAGTTCCATCGGTAATTAATGTTTTTTTTTTGTAGTGATTGAATTAACAACTATTTCTTTTGGTAAAGGTAAGAATCTAAATTGTATTCATTTAATTTACTTACCTAATGGATCACAAGTTAGTACTCATTATTTTGAAACTATTTATTTCTAAAAGCATTTTGTAATGTTCTTTACATACCAAAGTTCGTTTTTAATTTAATCTTTGTACAACACATGATTTAAATTATAAACTAATATTCTTGCATGAGATTTGTTAGATATAGGATGCCATTTCTCAATTGGGAAAGTTGAATTGTATAATGACCTTTATTACTTGTAAGAAAAAAAACATATGTGTCTCATTAATTTTGTTAATTCTGATAATAATGTTCATCGTGATTTAGATCACAGACACCCTTCAAACAAAGTTCTTGGTTATATTTGCAATATATTTTCTTACCTACGATTTAATAAAAGTTCTTTATGATTCTATCATCTAGCCAATTAGCATAGACTCCCTTTTACTCAAAGTAATAATAAAGTCATCCATATCTTTTATTTAATCCATGTTGGTATCTACATCTAGGGCCCATTGGTATGTCTTCCATACAAGGATATATAGATTTTTCCTTACCATTGTTAATGGTTTTAGTATATATACTTTGATTTTTTTTACTGATAAGAAAGTTAAAATTCTTAAATATGATATAGACAATAATTTATTTGGAATATGATTTGTATAATAATCTTGAAATTATACATCAAACAAATTATGTTGAAACACTGTAACAAAATGCTTTAGTGGAAAGGAAACATTAACACATCATAAATGTTATTAAGAGTTTTTTATTTCATTATAATGTTCTGACTTATTTTTTGTCTTTTATTTTGTCTCATGCTATTCACTTAATAAATAGGCTTCGCTCTATTGTTATAAATAATAAAACTTCTCATGAAATTATTTATAATCAATTACTTGATCTTTGGAATTCAAGAGCTTTCCGATCTTTATGTTTTATTTCTACCCTTGAAAGAAACAAAACTAAGCTTGATCCCAAGGTAAGAAAATGCAATTTTTTTAGGATATAAGAGCGGAACAAAAAGATATATGATTCTTGACATTAAAAATAGAGAATCTTTTAGACTAACAACACTCAACTTGAGAATCTTTTATATTTTTCTATTGATATACTTATTACTCAAAATGACAATTTTCATTAATAAAGTGACTAAGTAAACAATATTGATCAAAATGAACAAAATTATAATGTTGAAAATGATTTGACCAGTAACACATGAAGATTCAATAGAAACCATAAGACTCCTACCTTTCTTAAAGATTACTATCATAAAATTTCTAATATTGCTAATTCAAAAAGGATAAAATATCATATATCCTCTATTTTGAATTCTAAAAAACTTTCTTCAAATTAGCGTAAATACAATTTTGTTTTATCTGCTAATCATGATTCACTAACTTATAATGAAACAATCAAAATTCTTAAATGACATGAAACTATGGAAGTGGAGATAAAAGCTGTTGAGCAAAATTATGCTTGGATTATGACAAATCTTCATCCAGGTAAAAAAAAATATTAGTTGTAATTGAGCCTATAAAGTGAAATACATAACATAACACATTATTGAACGGTGCAAATCTTGCTTGGTAACAAAGCGATATACTCAATTTGAGGGAATCAATTACTTTGAAACCTTCTCACCTATTGGTGATTGTCAAAATGCTTCTTGCCATTGCTGCTATGAAGAATTCACACTTCAGACAACTTGATGTGAATAATACATTTTTCCATGGATATTTAGAAGAAGATGTCTACATGATTGCACCTAGTATGAATGATCGTGATAATAACAAAGTTTGCAAAATATTGGTCTCACTCAATTGAGTGTTGATCATTCTTTGTTTACTAAAGGTAACTCCTCCAATTTTATGATTTTATTTGTTTACATTGATGACATCATTCTTGTAAGAGATTTGGTTCATGAAACCCAAAGAATAATTTCATATCTCGATTAAAGGTTCAAGGTTCAAGGTAGGCATGACAATGGGCCGAGACGAGATTTTGCCTCCGATCTCGTCTCGACTTTTTAACCATCCCGTTCCCAACAGGGTTAGAAATTAAATCTTCATCCTCGTCCCCATTAGGTTTCGGGTTTCCGCCCTGACCCCGTCCCGATTTATATATTTTTTAAAATTATATATATAATAAATTAATTTTACTATTTTTATGTATTTTTTATACTTAAGTAAATATTTATAATTTTAGAATTTGTAATTAAATATATATTTTAATTTATTATATTTATATTAAAATATATATGTAAAATAAATATTTAATCATTTTTATTTATACATATATAAAATATTTATAATAATAATGATAATATTATTATTATAATATGTACTCAAACATTTGAATACTTATAATAATAATAATAATAATAATAATAATAATATTATTATTATTATTATTATTATTATAATACTGTATTTAAACATTTGATTACATATATAAGTTAATTCATTTTTAAGTTAGTTCGAAGTAATAAAAGTTTAAATTATCAATTCTTTTTAATCCTTTAAAATACAAATTATTTTATTAAGATAAAATTTGATATGTGACAAATAAGAATTATAAGATCCAAAAAATATGATATAATAAAATCTAATAAATATAAATTATAAATAAAATAATATTAGTTACTACTAAGATTTATGTAAAATATTTAGAGAAAGATAAGAAAAAAAATTAACTTTGTGTTCATCAAATTGGTTGAATTGATTGAAAAAAAAATTTGATTGAAGAGATTAAGAAAATGTGAGAAATTGAAAGGTAAGAGAAAGAGATTAATGTAATAAAATAATTGATATAAAAGATTAAAAAAGATAAAAGACTTAAAAAATGGGTAGAAGAAAAATAAAAATGATGAAAATAAAAAATAATTAAATTTAAATATAAAGTCGGGACCAAGACGGGGATGGGGACAAGGACGATGTTGAGGTAGAGATTGCATTACTCATTCCCGCTCTCGTCCTCGACTTTTTAAAGCGGGTAAAACCCGAACCTGCCATCGCCCACGCCCTCGATCAACTCGATTTTCCTCCGTCAAACTCTAGGCAAGGATGGATCGGTATTCACAAATACGAGTTTAATTGTCATCCCTAGTTCAAGGTCAAAGATTTGGAAAACTTCAAGTATTTTTTGGGTTTCGAGACAAAAAGATCTAAAAGTAGTATCACGATAGTATGAGAAAATATGCTTGTTGCTTGTTGCTCTGAATATTATCAATGACACTGTGTTGCTTGTTGCTCTAAACATTTTCAATGACACTGTGTTACTTGTTGCTAAGCTTGACATGATAAAAAAAATACCAAGGTTCTTTATGACAAAGAAACTCCTCCATATGGTAGCCTTTCATACTAAAGAATCAAAAAATAATTGGGAGACTCATCTATCTTTCTAACATAAGACCTGATATCACTTATGTCATTTAGTTTTTCACTCAATTCTTGAAGTTTTTATCATACATCATGACAAAGGTACACAATACATTCTTAGATATATTAAAAGAGCTTCCACGTAAGGTTTATTTTGCTTGAAAGACATTACTCATGAACTCAAAGGCTTCATCTACTCTAGCTGAGCTACCTGTCAAGATTCATATCGACAATATAGAGTATTGCATCCTTTAAAGTAGAAAACAAATTGTTAACATTAATATTGCCTGTGAAATTTAATGATTAACGTATTTACTAAGATATTTTGATTTGCATAATAACATTCCTGTTTTGTGCTTTATTGTGATATTACATCTAAAACTAATTAATATTCTTACTAAATCCCTTAAACCAATAAACTTTCACAATATTATTCACAAACTTGATATTTTTTATATATTCATAGCACAACATAAAAGGGGTGAGGATGTTGGTTAGATTGGTGGTTCCATTGTTTTCTATTTTTAGTTTGTCTATATTTTGGCAAGTCCTATATCAACAAAAGCTTGCTTTTGTTTTGAATAGGTTATGTTTTTTCTTTTATCTTTTTTATTTGCATGAGATATAAAGTGTTTCTCTTTCTTTTCTTTTCTCGTACATAGTAAGTCTCATCCAATTTAATCAACAATTACATATTTGAGCTAATACGAAAATGACATTTTCAGTTTTTCATGCAGCATTCCATCAAGGGCGGAGCTAGGGGACCCCACACCGCCGCATGGTCCAAGTACCAAAATAAAAATTAAAAACTAAATAATAAAAAATTAGTATTATATTTTATAAAATAAAAATAAAAATAATTATAATAAATATTATTTTTAATTTTTATACAATTTTTTATTTTTATTTTTTTCTTTCTTATTATTTTATTTTCATATCTTTTATTTTTTTCTCTCTCACTTTACCCTTTTTCCATTTTAACTTTAAATATTCATAATTTTATTTTCATATTTCTATTTTTTTTCGTTATCATTCTTCTTTCTTGCATACTTTTTACTTTTTTATTTTCATCTTATAACATAAAAATTTATAAGTTTTTCTTTTCAATTTTTACATTTTTCTTAATATAAGTATTTTTTTTATTCACTATTATAATATATTAACATGTATATTATTTATTATCAATTAATTAATTAATTTAATATTTTATGATACTTAAATTTAATGTTAAAATATGAAAAAAATATTAAATTGAATTTTAAAAATATTTAAAAATTATAATTATATTTTTCAAAAAATAATAATTAAATAAACTTTAACTTATCAAATTTAAATTTAATAAGTAATATTGAAAATATTGTTAAACAACTTATCATGATTTTTAGAATATAAAATATCATTAAATACAGTTAAAATGTATTTAATTTTATAAATATTTATTTTAGGTTGATGTTAAATATATGCAAATAATTTATAATTTTTAATAATTTTATATAATATATTTGTTTTTATATGATAATTAATTTTAATATACATATACTCATGAATAAAAAAAAATGTTTACGTTACTTTTTAAATTATTGTGTAAGTATAACTTACACAAGAAATAACACATTTTACACATACCTAGTTATTCGATGTAAAATGTCTGCTAGTGTATACACAAGAAAAGTTGAATTGTGATTTTACAATTCTTTTTACTTGAAAACTCATTGTCTAGAGACTAGTGTTTCAAAAATCTTTTATAAAAATGAAAATAGAGAAAAAAAAACAGAGTTTTATATAGCTTTCGAAAATAGAAAAATAATTTAAATTTAATATTTACTTTAATTTATTTGAAATTATGAAGTTTATATCCAAACAGGTTTCTTAAATAACTAACCACAACTACATTGTCTTCTTAGGTTAAAATCACATACGGTGGAAACGTTAATGCGTGAATTAACTGAAGGTTTACATTTTCTCAGTTTCTTGTTATTGGTTAATTAATTAGCACAGGTTTCTATTTCTTCGTTAAAATTTAGACAAAATGATTCACGATAGAAGTTATACTTCTGAAGTATATAAATACAACTTTGCACCAGCCATTTCAGTGCCATCATCAAAACATCTTAGTTACCAAAATCAAAGCCTTTTTGGATCATAAAAAAAGATGCCACATTCAGCAACAAGTTTTCTCTAATGCTGATATGCTTTATGATTGGTTTCTCATCGTCGTTCAATGTCGGGCTTTCTAACGTTGTTCCGGCACCATCAAATGCAGCAGGGCCAATGTCATCGTGCAAGAAGTATTTGACCAACTGTGGATCAAATTTAGACCGAATTTGTGGTGAAGAGATATTTTTGGCTGTATTTTTCGGCAACACAACAGTCAGAGACGGTTGTTGTGACGAACTTATGGGTGATGTTGGAAAAGTGTGTCATGATGACATGACAAGATGTGTTTTGACATTGCCAAAATTCCGGAACAGTAAAGTTGAGATGTTGAAGAGGGGTCAGAAGGTTTGGAATGATTGTGTTTTCTCTGCCTACTCTGGGATTCAACCTGTTCCTGCTGAATGTTGATATTTTTATGCAATCCATGAATTGTAGAGTAATTGTGTATTCCTCCTGGAACTGAATAACTAATTCGAGTTCTCCATTGGAAGCAATCACTGGTTGAAATTGGTATAAATTTTTAGACTGTTGTAGTTGCAGATGGAGAAAGCCTGATGAAAGTAAAAGTTACAATAATAAAAGAAATAAAACTTTACGAAGATGTAAATACTTAAATATATTAACTGACTTGCAAGGAATTTATTGCCTTCAATATTTGTTCTAAATCCAACTTTCGTTAACCAACATACTAATTTGCCTCCCTACTCCTTCAAAATCTAACAGCAATAGATAAATGAAAGTCATTGATTCAAATATATATTTACGAAAGTACTTTACTGAAAAGTCTTTGTTTAATTTCCTAACACGTGGAATGAGCGAGGAATGCAGAGAAGTTGTTAAAACTTTGAAGATTATATTATCTAGAATAGAAATTTTAGATGAAGGATCATATTTAATAATATATATATATATATATATATATATATATATGTATGTATATGTATATTAAAAAATGTTTGACATTTCATTTCTTATTTTGTGAGATTTTATTGATTTAAAATTCAAGGAATTCATACATATCAGCATTCATCATATTGGTAATTAATTGATTTGCATGTCTAAATTATTAAGATAACTGTAAGTTATATTGAAGTAATCAACCAACATAGAGTTAGAACATTGTGTGTTATCGAAATTATAAAGGACTAAAAGTAAATTTAAACTAAAGATAAGACTATATTTTTTTTCTTTCTGTCTATGGCTTTACCCCTAAATTATGTCATTTTGAATATAATATCTGCAATTGTTTAATATTTTTCGATTTACTATCACATTATTTGTTGCTAATATTTGATATGGAAAATAAAAGCATGTCAAAGGCTATTATTACTTTTATTAGAAAAATGCTTACAGATAGATTTGCCTACAAGAGTAATTTAAAAGAAGAATCATATAGTTATCCTTCGATAATTTTATGTCATTTAAAAAATCGACTTCACTCTTTTTTTTTTTAATACTTTGTACTCTATTTTAAAATCAAGTTATAATAATACAATCAAATTATGAAATATTTAAAATGGGATTGTCAATTGATAGTTTTTTTTTCTTATACAAGGAAGTGGATGTTGTAGAAAGGGTGTTACAAAAGAAGCTTTACATCTTATAATCTTACATAAAATCACTTTCAAATGAACTTTCTTGGCAAATTTTAGGATTTATCATAAGATATAAATTATAATAATTATGAATTGTCATAAGATATATATATATATATATATATATATATATATATATATATATATTAATAATAACTATGATATTGTGATAAGAAGACGATTAAGGGAATAAATTATAAATTAATAGTATTAAATTTGATTTGAGATACTACAATTTGTCATAGAAATAAGTCGGTATCAGCACCAACAGGTTCAATTGAGGGTGCATGAACAGGTTGAAGGGCAGGGTAATCCAGATAAAGACAATAATTCCAAACACTTTCACTCCTCTGTAAGATCTGAAACTGGTTTTTCCTGAGATTTGGGGATTGCAAAGAGTACTTAGTCATATCATCATGGCAACGTTTTCCCACTTCGTTAACGAGTTTCTCACAACAAGTGCTGCTAACGGTGTCGTTGCCAAAAAATATAGCTGAGAAAACCTGGTCACCACAATCTGGGTATAGCTTCGCAGCACAGTGCTGTAAATACACTTCATATGATGACAGGGGCCTTGGCGCATAATCTGTTTCATCGGAAGGACTAGGTGATGGTTCAGCAGGAACCTCGTATGAAAGCCCCGTTTTCAGCATCAGACTAACACTGATCATAACCACCACCATGAGACAAAAGCTCTGGAATGTAGCCATTGTTTCAATATGGTCGAGGCTTTTGATGATGACTTGCAAAATTTATTGATGGCTTTGAAATGGTTTGGACTATATTTATACTCGAAACTCAGTAACATTTACTTGCATCAGTTTTGATAACTTATAAATTAATTTGCGTTGATAAAATGTGATAAAACGTATGGTTATCGTTTAATATATTCGTTATGTTTGCATGCAAATTATATGATGTTTCAATTATAACTGTAAGTAATACACTAAAAATGAATTAAGTTGTTATTTTAGTAGAAAGAATTATGTTAGCCCTAAAATAGTAATCAGGTATATGATGAAATCAAAATCATATTGTCAAATCAAAATCCTTGTTAACCTAATAGACATTTTAACTAAATTAGTATCTCCATTAATTTTTTACTACACATCAGTAATATACAAAATTCAGTCAAAATGAAAACTCATTAAAAAAGTTTGAACAAAACTAAATATTTTTGCAAACACGAAATATTTAACTCAGTTCAGTTTGAACTTATTTTATGGTTCTACTGAGTTAAAACTTTTAATCTAATTTCTCTTTATATTAAACCAATAAAATAAAATAACGTGTGAATTTTGGTATGATTGATTTTTTTAAAATATTAATATGTCTATACCCAATACATTAATTAAAAAATATTTAAATAAAAATAAAAAATATTTTAAAATTTAAATTTTATTTATAAAATTAATTTTTATTTAAAATGTAATTATTTAATATATAAATTATATACAAATACGTTCCTTTAATCTTAAAATAAGAATTAAAAAATTATTCATTATTATTATTATTATTTATTAATAATTTATTAATTTAAAATAAAAATTAATTTTAATTATTAAATATTTAAATAAGTGATTATAAAAAAAATTCTAATATTTACTTTTAGAATAAATAAATTTTTTGTCAAATTAATTTATAATATATATATATATATATATATAAAATAATATTATTTTTTTATTTAAAAAATAATAATTATTTTATGAGGTAAATCATAAACTAAGAATCAAAATAAACTTGATTTAATTTAGGACAAATTTTTTATCTAATCTATTCTATTCCAATGCATTAAATTAATCTTATTTTGAGATCTAGCTAAAAAATTAGAGAACATCATTTTGTCTCATGATTTTGAGTATATATATATATATATATATATATATATATATATATATATATATATATATATATATATATATATATATATATATATATATATATATATATATATAGAGAGAGAGAGAGAGAGAGAGAGAGAGAGAGAATGGGGCTATAAATATGATTTGAGTGGAGAAACTTCTCATACAATTCCTACATTTGATGCATTTGATTTCATTTCCTTTTTAAGGTGTTTCATCTTAATATTAATATTAAGTATCAACGTTTGAGTTTTATATGTCAAACATAATTTAATTGAGTTGTAAAATTAAATTATTTTTAATTTAAAGCTTTAATAAAAAATATTAAATATTTACTTTTTTTATTATATATATATATATAACAAGTCAAATTTGTTAAATAAATTTAAATTTATTAATAATTATACATTACAAATACTTTTGTTAATTAATCATAATAATTTGACAAATCTAGTAATTTCAGTATAACAATAAAATTGTTATTAATAATTAAAGTTTTTAATTTAGAAATTTTATTTAACTATTTTGCATTATTAGTTTAATATTAATACAAATTTAAAATAATAATGAACAGTAATAAATTCTACATATTATTTATTTACTAAATATTATTGATATATTTTTTTATTACATATATTTAAAAGTATATTTAATTTTTTCTTTCTAGATGTAATATATTACGTTATATAAGTAATTTATCAATAACGATAACTTTAAATTCATAATAATAATAATAAATAAATAAATAAATAAACAACAACGTTTGTTTAATTAATAGTTAATAAAATTATTAAATTAATAATAATAAATAAAATTTGACATTTACTAATTTCTCTAATAAATTATTTTAAATTACTAATAATATTAATTATAAAGTATTGTTTTAATTAATAGTATTATTAATTGGATATAATAAATAATTACTTAAAATTTTGAACTAATTAAATGAATATCTTAAATAATGTTCCATTTAGAAAAAAACTATTTTTTTTCTCAAATTATAATTAGTAAAAGTTTTTATTTTTATTTTTAAAAAGAATCAGAATTCGACTCCTGAAAAGGCTAACTCTATCACCATTTCCGCAATCATGAACAATTTTTTATTTGATATTTTGAGAAACAATTTCTTATATCAGTCAGTATTTCTTTTTTTCAAAATTTTAAATTATTTTCTACAGTGTTAAATTGGAAAAAAATTAATACCTTAATATTACTATAAAATATCTCGAACCAACAATATTTTGTCACATAAATTTAATGTGAAATTAAATAATTAATTATGTGGAAAGTCAATAAACGTTCACATCATCAATAGTTATGACAAAGATTAAAAGCAATAAAAAAAAACTAATACTGATAAAAAAATTTGCTAATAAACTAAAAAATAATTTTATAAAAGATTATAAATTAAATAAGATTAGTTAATGAATTATAGTGGGATTAAAAATATTTTTTGACTAAAAATATCTATTATAAAAATTTACGTGAATATCCCGTCAATTTGTGAAACAAATTATTGATTGATGATTTAGTTATTATGTTTTTATTTAATAATGATATTTAATTGAAAATAATAAAATTAAAATATTAACATAACAAAATAGAGAATAAGATCGACAATTTATTTTAGAAATTGAAAGTAGAACTAAAAAAAGGACTAAAAATATTTTTTTAGAGACTAAAAATATATTATAAACCTATAAATAAATTAAAGTGAAAAATGTATCATTAATAGTTGAATGAATTTTGTATTTTACCAGGGAACTCATTCGCGCTAATGGTGCATTATAATTAGAGGGAAAAAAAAAAGGAAAAAGAAAAAGAAAGATATTTATGTTTCCATGTAACTAAAAAAAATGGTAATAAATTAAAAAAATATTTACAATTTGAGAACCGTTGGGACATCTGAGAACCAAATTTGAAATCGTTGGAATCACGTGGGACCGTACCCGCTCCCAACGAATACCGAGCCTAAAGCACGGTCCAGATTTTTTCTGATTTTGAACCAACCCATTCCCCTCCTCGAAAGCATAACAGTAGAAGAATTATGCAGTCTGCATTGTTCACAGTTTCATTCATAATAAATACATAAAATCGTAGAATTCATTTCTCTGAATACATACGCACTCGAAATGTCGACGCAGAATCGTCGCTCGTCATTTTCCTCTTCAACGGCGTCGTCTTTGGCGAAACGACAATCGTCCGTCGTGCCGTCGGGGAAGCCTGCGACGAGAGCGCCGCTCGCCAATGTTACCAACCAGAGGAACGCGTCTTCCTCTTCTCTGGTAATGATCGTTTCGCTGTTTAACTTTTTCGTTAATTTATCTGTGAAAAAGAATCATTCACAGTGGGAAATATTATTAGGATTTGCTGAAATATGTTTCGCTTTATTTGAATCACTTGATTCTGGAATAGTACACTGTGTTATACATTGTAAATTGGATAATCTATGCTAAAGGAGAGTGTTATTTTGTGTGGAAAGGTTTGTGGAAATGTTTCATGAATGATGTTGAGCGTGGTACACTAGGTTTTTAACCCTTCTTGTGTTTCAATTTGTGTTATGTCTCTGTCAGTGTGCTTAAAAGAAGATTTGTATTTTAGTTTTGGAGGCTTTGGTGATGAGAATTCTATGATCGGTGTGGTTTTTCAGCTCAGAGTTTGCGATTTGTCGCCAGAGCCTTTTTTGAAAAATTTAAAATTGTTTTCAATTGTGGAAAGGAAATAAAGAGGTGATAACCACAGATAAGAATCATTATTTTGTTTGAGGAATAAACGAAAAGTAGAGAGACTGAAAAGCTCATTTTTATAAGTCAAAATTTGAAGTAAAACACTTCTTTTCTCCGAAATTTGAAAATTTTCAAGTCATTGTGTGAGAGGTTTTGAGAGTTTATACTACTAGGTCAGATTCTGGAATCTGGATTCTAACTTCGTTATCTTCATAGTAAAAATGAAAACAATTTAAAATTTTCTCTGCCCTTTTTTCTTTCCTATGCTAAACAAGGTACAAATTTAATGATTTAGAGTACACGCTTAATTCGTTAACTATTCTAAACTCTTCGTTTTTTATTGCTTACTGTTCAATTGCTATCTCAAAAACCTGCTTAACTTTGGTGCTTAGATATGTTGTTTTCTAAAGTTTTGTTTTATCTATGGCTGTAAATTAGCTGGATTTCTTAATGCAAGGTGTCAAGTTCAAGTAAAGCTGCCAAGACCAAGAAAGAGGCCCCCGCAAGAAGCAGGAGCATCACAAGATCAACAATTTCTGGGAACAAATTACCTGAGTTAAAGACTACTAACTCAAGCACAACTGTTATTCCTAGGGCTAATTCTTTGTCACAAAGGAAGGATGCTGCTCCCACAGTTGCCAAAGTCTCTGTGCCAGTTCAGAGTAGCATTGACGTGTCTCCTAGTAAATCAGATGCGAGGTCCGTTTCTATGGATGAGACATTGTCTTCTTGTTATTCTATCAAGAGTCCTGATGAAGTTGAATATCTGGACAACAGGGATGTCGCAGCTGTTGATTCAATTCAGAGAAAGACTAGCAATTTGATCATTTCTGACACCACAAAGGCAGAAGGTTGTGTACACTGCAATTTTTCTTTGCTCTAAATCACATTTAAGTGTAAATGTATGGTCGATCAAAATTTGGATCATGATATTTTTTGCTTATTTGTATTTAAGTATTTATAGTATTTCATTTTTCACTCTTTCTAAGTTAGTGTTGTTTATTTCTTTGCAGGTAAGATATCTACTGGGGAAATAATTGTTGAGCAGGATAGAGGGGACAAGGTTGTCAATATTGATAACATTTACTCTGATCCGCAGCTTTGTGCAACCTATGCTTATGATATCTACAAGCACCTACGTGAATCTGAGGTTGCACTTTGTTTTTCACTGTTAAAATAATGATTTGTGTGTCTTACATCCTACATTGAATATAATGACTTATTCTTGCTTTCATCACTGCTAACTGGTCAAATGGTAATTTATATTAAGTATTCTGATCTCGAGTGTTTTCTGGAAACTCAGGAAAAGAAAAGGCCTTCCACTGACTTCATGGAGAGAATTCAGAACGACATAAATGTTAGCATGCGCGCAATATTGATTGACTGGCTTGTTGAGGTAAATTTTGTTCATAATAAACATGAGTCTTGAAATTTGTGATTTGTAGAGCGATAGAAAAAATATTGATGTGGTTATGATGCAAACAAAAGGGGTTTGGGATAATTTATTCTTTGAAATGTCTTTGCTCAAGTTAGATCTCGTTTTAAAATCCCTGTTATTATGCTAAACTTCAACTTTTCAACTGCAGGTGTCTGAGGAGTATCGCCTTGTACCTGAAACATTGTATTTGACAGTGAACTACATTGATCGGTATCTTTCAGGGAATGTTATGAATAGACAAAGATTACAATTACTCGGTGTTTCCTGCATGATGATTGCCTCGTAAGAAAGCATAATATATCCCTTTCTTGCTTTCTAAATAGATGCGTTTTCTATTTCTTTTGGGCCCTCTAAGCTCTAGCTTTAACATATAGAACATTAATTTGGGTTTTGGTTCTTTTTGACAGTAAATATGAGGAGATTTGTGCACCACAGGTGGAGGAATTTTGCTATATAACTGATAATACGTACTTAAAAGAAGAGGTTTGGATTTCTTTGGCCAAATTTTACAGTTTTGAAGTTTCCTTCTATTACTTGAAGTGAGAAAATCTCATCAAAATCATTTTAATGCAGCTCTTACGAATGGAATCTGCTATTTTGAAATATCTTAAGTTCGAAATGACAGCCCCAACAATTAAATGTTTCTTAAGGTAAATAGGTAGTTTACCGACAACTGTAATTGAGAAATAAGATTGGAAAAACTTTTGAAGTTGCACTGTTTTAACATTCACTCTTTCTATATTGTGATATAATTTCAGACGATTTGTTCGAGCAGCTGCTTATGATGTCCAGGAGGTATTTCTCTCTCTTTAACTGCTCTTTTACATGTGCATTAAAGAATAATATTGTTCAATGTTATTGTTGTAGATTCCATTTCTAAAATATTGGTCTTTTTGGTGGTTTTACGTGTCCATTTCTCAGCTACCTTCACTTCAGCTGGAGTGCCTAACCAACTATATTGCGGAATTGTCTCTCTTGGAGTACAGCATGTTGTGTTATCCTCCATCACTGATAGCTGCTTCAGCAGTTTTCCTTGCCATATTCATACTTTTCCCTTCAAAGAAACCATGGGTATGCTGCTTGTCACGGTTTTCTTAACCACGTGTGCATTGAGGGACAGTTTTGTATGATTTGATGGCTCACTATTTCTGTATTTTGAAACAGAATTCCATATTGCAGCATTACGCACTCTACCGGGCTTCTGATTTGTGTGCTTGTGTGAAAGATCTTCATCGCCTTTGTTGCAGCAGCAGCAGCGATACTTCTAATTTACCTGCTATCCGAGAGAAATACAGTCAGCATAAGGTAATTTACCTTAGCAAAAACATAATTTCTATGACTTGTTTACCCTTTTAAATTAAATAGGTTGCTTACTTCATCTGTGTAACAGTACAAATGTGTGGCCAAGAAGTTCATCCCTCTCTCAATACCACATGAAGTTTTTCAGAATTAAGAAAAGGAAATTCATGTTGAAATAACTATTACGACACAGGCCAAGTTTTGACAAGGCTTCAGTCTCAATGATGCAAAGACCATATCCTGTTAAAAGCTTAGTTAGAACTTGAAAGACATATCTTGTCCTATGACATGTGACACGGATCAAACGTGTGAGATATAGAATATCTTGAGGATGTGTTGCTGAAGCTAGTGACATACATGCCATTAAAATTTCATGTATACACAAAACACAGTAATGGTTCATTCTAGGAATTCCCTCCTCGAGTATTCCTAGAATTTCGTGTGACAAGTTCCCTCTATTCTTAGTGTATAAATTGCAGGTATTTTTTTCTTCTATATTCAAAATATGCTCAGTTGCAAATTAGTTCTCTTTATTATCTTTATTAACAAAAGAGAGGATGAAAGAAACTTGTGGGCTTTTCCACCAAAATAGGTTAAAAATATTTGGATTTTACTTATATGGGTTAAATTTTAAAAAAATTACTAAAAGGGGTTAAATTATGTTAAGAAATCGTAAAACTATTTTGTGATAAAAGAACTGAAATTTTGATTTTTCTAACGAATTGAACGTAATTTTTTTTATTATAAAATCAAAGACGTATTACGGACTTTAATTATATTCATATATAATTAAAGTTCTGTTATATAATATATGATTTGAGTTTTATATTTTTAAATAATTAAATTAATTTTATTAAATAAATATATGATTTTAAAATTAATAATTTATTTATTATATATATATTTATATATTATAAAACACTATATTAATTATTATTTTATATAAATTTTGTATAAATAATAAAAATAGAAAAATATATTTTAAACAAAATAAAATATATTAATAAATTTATTTTAAAATTTAAATTATGTTGTATTATTTGTTTCAAAATTAATAATATATATTTTTACAATTTTTTATAATTAAATTAAGTTTTTGAGATAAATATATTATTTAAAAAATTATAAGTTATTTTTTATATAAATAATAAAGGTAATATATATATTACCTTTATTATTTGTATACTACTAATACAAAATTTATATAAATAATAATTAATATAAATAAATAAATAATTAATATAATATTTTATAACTTCTAATATTATTTGTATACTACTAATACAAAATTTATATAAATAATAATTAATATAAATAAATAATTAATTAATATAATATTTTATAACTTCTAATATATATATATATATATATTATAAAATCAAATAATATATTTATTTAAAATATTATATTAATTGTTTATTTTATATAAATTTTTTAAATAACTATTTATTAATTACATAATTTAAATTTCAAAATAAATTTATTAATATATTTATTTTATATTCAAAATATTTATTTTATTTCTATTATTTACAAAAATTTATATAAAATAATAACTAATATAAATAAAATAAATGATTAATATAATATTTTATAATATAAATATATAGTAATAAATAAATTATTAATTTTAAAATAATATATTTATTTAATAAAAATAATTTATTTATTAATACAAAACACGATTTAATTATATATGAATATAACTATAGTCATACTACGTATTAAATAAAACATTTAATTCGTTAAACAAACATAATTTTAATTTTTTTTATCACAAAACCATTTTCCGTTATATGATTTCTTTATTTAAAATAGGTAACACGATATCTACAATTTTTGGTGATTTTTTTAAAATTTGACCCATATTAATAAAATCTAAATATTTTTAACCAATTCTAGTAAAAAAACATGGTTTCCAATCATTCCATTCTCAGTTATGTTTTATTATTTAGTAAAGAAAATGATAATTTCACACTCAGCCTACAAATATTCATTATACAACCCAATTTTAATAATATAATATTGATAAATCTTTTAAATTTATATATTTATTCTTATTCTTATTATTATATTATTATAGTGAATTGTAGATTAATGTATGAAATGAATAGTGGTATCAAAATATCACCACCCCTTAGTAAAATGGACAGAGAAGCCGATTTGATTCGATTTCACGGGGCTTGAAGAAGCTTTTTGAAATGCATCACGGTGATTCAGTTTAAAGGATAAATAGTTGTTATGTAGAGTGTATAATTACTATTAGAAAGTGTTTTTTTTTTTTTTTTTCTTTAGTGAGGATTGTAGGTTTGCTCTTTTGAAGGTCCATGGGTGGTGGCTGAGCATTATCTCACTGTACAACACTGCTATTGTCTCGTACCATTTCATGTGATTCCTTCTTCAATTGTCTCTGCATGATATTTTGGTGTTTTAAATTTTTGGAAAATTTAGTTCTCCCTTTTTTGTTCTGCCCCTCGGCTAAGTTAAACTTCCCATGGGTAGAGGTTTTTCAAAATGTTAATATAGGACATGAATTTGTTTAGCTTCCTTTTTTAGCTTAAATTTATTCTCATACGTTTCGTTTATTTTATTTGGCAAGGAACGTGAATTTGTTCAGCAATCCTAACATTGACAGAACCTTGTTGTCTTGGCTTTCTCTTCTCCCAATCCGTTTCCCTAATTAATGCTTTGCAGCGGTATCCACTTTATTAACCTCTTTGAACATCTTTATTTTTCCTACTTTTAGTTTTTGTTGTTATGCTTCTAATTAATCTATTTCGATATTTAGAGACAAAACAAACATTTTTCGATAAGAGTGTATAAATTTGATTGGGTTTTAGAATTTTTTCAAATCATAATCTAACTCAAGTCATCCTTCTTCAGATTAAATGGGCTCAGTTAGTTGTCACATATTTTCAAAAACATTTTTTTATTAACAATTTATTATATTTAAATATGGAGGTTTGAACCTTATAGAGTCAAGATCTCGAATTTATAACAATTTATATTTATATCTCCAATTCAATATCTTAGATATGGAGGTTTGAACTTTATAGAGTAAATAGTCACTTTACGGTTTTTTTTTTCTCCACCTTTAAACGCTTTTAACTTGCCACGATTAGACTAATGTTTTTTGTTATCCTTGATTTCCATTGTCAAAGTAATTACACAATTACTATAATCAACATTTCTTGGTGTCAAAGTGGTATGAAGCCTAATTTTCTTTTAAGGTTTTAAATAAGATTTCAGGTTTGACTTCATTGAATAAAAAAAGTCAAAGAGTTTTGCTTTTATAAGAGTTTTTTTATCAATTATTTACACATATGGTTTATAATATATTTTTCATGATGTTTTTTATTTTTAAAAGTGTTTATGAAGAAAAATATCTCAAAATATTATTATAATTTAGTAGTTCATGAAGCTTCTGTTTCCCACGTATCCCAGAAGATAATAATGTTCAAAGTTGCTGTAGAGAGGATGTGTACGTAAGATGATATAAGTGATGACGAGAAATAAGTTTTGAAAATTAAAAGCTAAGTTTGTAAAGATGACAATATGCAGCAAGTTAGCACACCAGAGAGAAGTTTCTTTATCAGTTCGGAGAAGAAGCATGCAAGATTAGTCTAAAGTTCTTATTACGTAGCAGAAATGTTTGAACATGTATGTGTATATGAAGAATTTTGCAAGGTGGTGGTAGAGAAAGTTACGATATATCTTCTCTTTGCATTTTATGTATTTTGAAAAAGTCAGAATAATTTATGCTTATCTCACTCTCTGTTAAGTGTTAAGATATTGTGTGTCACTTACCAGTAGCATTTTTATCAGTTGAGTAAAAGAGTGAACAGAACCAAACCTCCTTTGACCATCGTTTCGTATCAAATCTAGTATTTGGTGCAGAAAATTTAATCTAGGAGAGAAGAAAGCACTAGCCATATCCAAGTTAGATAATCAATCTCTAAACTAAAATTTGATACCCTTTTTTTGAGGAAGCTAAAAGTAAACAAATCTTAACAACAAACACTTAATCTTTCAGTCTTTTGTGGCTAAAATTTATGTCTATATTTTTACCACAATCTATTTTTTATCCTTTGATATATATCCTACAAAATTATGCTGTTCTCAAAATTTCCACCATTGCTGAAGAGCACGCAACTTGTTGCAGCTCCTCCTCTTACCCAAAAAAGAGGAGGTGAATGCTTGATTTTTCGAGAAAGAACCAAACTTTGGAAAAGTTGTTTGCAATCTCTTAAGGCTTAATTATTGTGGAAGAAAATCAATAATTGGGTCACAAAGAGCACAAACTTCAAACCAATCGAAAATCCATATAAGAAAGAGAGGGGTCTCCCTCTCTTATCCAGGTGATTTTCCTCCCCCCATAGTCCTAATAATTAGTATTTTGTGTCTGAATATTTATCTTGTATATATTATTGAAATTATATGATATCTATGGGGAGAAATTTTTTGCCAAGAACATACATGAATTACTCCTTTAAAATAAAGAGAAAGTTTGACTGAATAAACTTTCAACTGGAATAGAATTGTGTCAGGTAAAACGTTTAAACGTTTTCTGCTCCTTGATGGGGATCTTCCAAAGCAATTCACTTTGAAAATTAAATTTAGGCCATATATATATAAGAATTAAATTATATTTTAATGATAATAGGTAGAAACTTCTATGAAATAAAAGATATAATGTGAAAAAATGATTTTTTTTTTAGAAATTGTTTTTAAATTTATTAACATTTTTAGAAAATTATTAACTTCAAAGAATCATCTTAAGTGCTTGTTACTAATTAAGGTTTGCATTAATCACCAAAATGAAAACCCTATTTAAATATATTAGCAAGTAGTACATTTGAAATTCAAAGAGGTCGTGGATTGATATATACTCTCTTAATCCCGCCAATTAAAAAGAAAACATGATTAGTTCGTAATATAAAATTAAACTAACACTGACATTAGTCAAATGAAATAATAAAGATCTTTAAAGACTTTCTCTGATAACCCTCTTTTCCTCAGTTATTGGGAACTAAAGCTAACGAATTAGATGCTCCGTGTCCACCAATTATGGGAATTGCATCATGCATTTTCCAAGTGAAAAAGAACCATTAGCCAGTATTAGGAATTATTTTAGGATCACAACCACAAAAAGAAAACAATTTGACTCAAACAATTGATAAATATGCTTTCCGTGTAGCACTACTTGTTGGGCAATTCATTCAATTCAGAATGAAAATCATAAAAGGAACCCTATTCTCATTCAGTAAGAATGAATGGTAGCTCCACACCAGAGAATTTTTCTGTCAAGTGGTCCTTTAAAGTGAAATTATAATGATATTTGTTAGGTCAGTAGTGCATTTTGTTCCACTATATAAGGTTCATAGAGTAGTTCAAGAGAGGCATAAACTGTAGCTTCTTCTATTCTACACCATACAGTAACCTCACTTTCTGATATTATCATTGTTATTTTGGTTTTATGTATATTGCTGCTGTAGTTGCTATTTACATTGCATGTGATAAAGTAAAGTGGTACTGAGAAAAGAGAAGGAACATACAAAAAGAGACAAGTTGTGGCTGAAGGTACGACAATTATACTTTCAATAAATTTGTTAAGAAATTCTATTGTTGTTGAGTTGTCATTTCAATTAATTTAGAACTGTTGTGTTTGAAACATTTGAACCAAGCATTTCAGAAAAAGAAAAAGGGTGCTAATTATTTGAAAACAGTTAAATGCCTTGGTTTCCTATGGATGAAATCTTGGTATTGTTTAGTAGTTTGTATTTTAACTCACAGAAGGTTATGGAAATTTTCTTAATATGTGACAATACTAATTAATTTTATAACCAGTTATATTTAGCATGTTATTAGCCACAAGTACAATTATGACTTGTAACACAGAATGTTTAATTTGTATAGAACTCTTGTGTTCATATTGTGAATACCTAATCCTAAAAATAGAGGTTGTGAACACCTAAATAAATCACACAGAACAACACATGCAAGATTAGGCATGTCGTTAACAAATTGTGTTTGGCAATTAGCTACGAATGGCCAAATCATGTTGAATTTAGAAGATGCAGATGATTAATGAATGTTTTCTTAAAAGAAAACTCCTGAAGATTGAAGGGAAAAAGAAAAGAGAAACGAAATGTGAAGGAAACCGAGGTGAGAAAGTGGGGATATTTTCACATATAAATTAATAGTACAGTGGAGTGGTGGGGGTTGCCGCTAACCCCCACATATTCAGTCAAAGAGGTGCGTTCGACGGCTCAATCAAGTTAGCTAGTAAACGCACATCCATATAAACATGTGTTGAAAATGGTCAAATTGGACTCTCGTATTTACTTACTTATTTAAGACTTTTTGAACTCATAGTGGCATGTGGGGCTGTAAGCACTCATTGCCAAACTAGTTCCTCCAAGTTTTAACTCAAACACTCTCTTCCCCCAAACACTTGTATACATATATATACCCCCCAGCCACCTCTTGTTCCATGCACAAGTACAACCCTCTAAACCAATTTTCTTCAGAACTTGGAACATTGTCTGGATTTTGAAAATCACCACACAAGCACAGATAATTCCTAGCTTTCACTCCCAAACGCACCATTTTTTCCTTTCTGAAACTCTTGTGAGCTATGGGTGTGCATGTGTGTGTGAAATACTTGAAATTTGTTAAACTTTCACAAAAACCAGCACCTTCTAACAATCCTTAAATCCATGTTTAAGAGACACCCATCTTCCCATTTTTATTTTCTTTGTGTTGACTGATAATTGATTGATCATAATCGTACATAACTGATAGTCCTATACTGAACAGTCTGCACAAACTCTTTAGCAAGATGTTTGAAAACGGTGGAAGCAGAAGTAATCAACAGACATTTGAAGTCGCCAATGACGACATGCTTCAACCTACAGGTTCCAAGTTTTTTGATGATGATGGCCGTCCCAAAAGAACAGGTAATCAAATAACCTCCAAAATCCAAGTACTTTGAAGTTCAGACAATTTCACTTCGTGTCATGGAATTGTCACTCATTATTTTCTTCTAAAACAAGCTGAACCAATTGCGTTGGTTATGAGTAACTAGTCATTACAAACGCGCTCACTTTGGTGTTTCACAAAACAGGAACTGTTTGGACTTCAAGTGCCCACATAATAACTGCAGTTATTGGTTCTGGGGTGCTATCTTTGGCTTGGGCTATTGCTCAGCTTGGTTGGGTTGCTGGTCCTGCTGTGATGGTTCTCTTCTCTGTGGTGACTTATTACACCTCAGTTCTTCTAGCTGCTTGTTACCGCACTGGCGACCAACTCACTGGCAAGAGAAACTACACTTACATGCAAGCTGTTAATTCCTACCTAGGTATGCCTGCTACCTAACTTAATTTGGCTATCTTTGTGCTATTTTTTGGAAAGTTTTTCCATAACAGTTTACTTAACTTTATCTGCAAGTTTAAAAAACAAGGAAAGTTACTTAAAATGTTTTATGAATTAATTTATTTATGAACCCTTTTTTTTTTCCTATAACTATTTATGTAAAAATTTGTCCGAAACAGACCCTTAAATCAAAACCAAAGTCTTTGTCATCAAGAAAAGAACTGTGAGTGCTTCATGTTTTTCTTTAAACAAATCAATATTGGGTTTTGCAGGTGGTATGAATGTCAAGTTTTGTGGGTGGGTTCAGTATCTGAACCTTTTTGGAGTATCAATTGGGTACACCATAGCAGCTTCCATAAGCATGATGTGAGTTTTGAAAGATGCAATTGATGTATGTATCAAAATGTATGAACAAATTTGCTAATTGGGTATTTTGGGTTGTTGATCAAACAGGGCAGTCAAAAGGTCTAACTGTTATCATTATAGCGGGGGGAAAGATCCATGCAAAATGAACAGCAATTTTTACATGATTTCATTTGGAATTGTGGAAATTATTTTCTCGCAAATTCCAGATTTCCACGAGTTATCGTGGCTCTCTATTTTGGCTGCTGTCATGTCCTTCACATACTCACTTATTGGACTCGGTCTTGGGATTGGTAAAGTTATAGGTATGATTCCATTCGTGTTACGTAATTGTTATTATGATTTTGAGTTGAGGATTATACGTCTACTGGGTAGAAATTTGACTTGAATTTCGCATGTAACAGGAAACGGAAGAATCAAAGGAAGCCTAACTGGTGTAACTATTGGTACTGTGACAGAAAGCCAAAAAGTTTGGAGAAGTTTCCAAGCTCTTGGTAACATAGCCTTTGCCTACTCCTACTCAATGATCCTTATAGAAATTCAGGTACATTTAGTTTTGCCGAATTTTGTGACACTCAAATGACCTTCACCGTTCAAAAGACAAAATTTTGTATGTAGTTTCTCAGGTGTTATTTGTATGGTTTTCTAATCAGAATTGAAACTGTACATTAACAATCTGTGTAATGTTTAATGTATACACGTACTATATGGATTATAAAATGAACCTCTTGTTCTGCTAAAAAAAGATAACTCAAATAGTATCTAAAGCTTTGTATCAACGTTTTTGTGTATATTTTAAGTTGAAGTCTAAACTAAAATGGGGGTTGTTATGAAACAGGACACAGTGAAATCCCCTCCTGAAGAGTCAAAGACAATGTCCAAGGCTACTTTAGTCAGTGTTCTAGTCACAAGCCTTTTCTATTTGCTATGTGGTAGCTTTGGCTATGCTGCTTTTGGAGATGCAAGCCCGGGAAATCTGCTCACTGGTTTTGGCTTCTATAACCCATATTGGCTCCTTGACATAGCCAATGTTGCCATTGTTGTTCACCTTGTTGGTGCATACCAAGTTTACTGCCAACCTCTTTTCCAATTTATCGAAAAAAACACAGCACAAAAATTCCCAAACAACGATTTTATAAGCAAAGAATTTGAAGTACCAATCCCTGGCTGCAAACCCTTCAAGCTCAACCTCTTTAGGTTGGTCTGGAGGACAACTTTTGTGATCTTATGTACCGTGATAGCTATGCTCCTACCATTCTTCAATGACATTGTGGGGCTTATTGGAGCCATTGGATTTTGGCCCCTCACTGTGTATTTCCCAGTGGAGATGTACATAGTTCAAACTAAAATACCCAAGTGGAGCACAAAATGGATATGCCTCCAAATACTTAGTGCTGCATGCTGTGTAATTACTCTAGTAGCTGCAGTTGGTTCCATTGCTGGAATTCTTGATGATCTTAAAGTTTACAAGCCATTCTACACCAGTTACTAAGTCTTACTTGCTTAAGACCGTTGTCAAAGATTTCATTACCAATTACAAACAAAACATGTAAATTCTTGCTAATTTGAAATCTATGGACAGATGGTCTTGTTTATTGCTTGGTGTGATCTTATTCTGTAAATAGCTCTGTTTCCTAATTTCCAATGACAAATGGAGTACATGAAGCATAAGATTTCAAATGATAAAAGTTGTTCCGTCTATCATAGCGTTGTAAATCTCTTATGTATATGTATATCATAGCGTTGGTGTAAATTTTTTAGAAGAGTTTTGTGTATCTGAATTTTTAACATGTCAAAATATATCTCATACAAGTATAAATTTTATTCATAAACTCTATTTATATATAAAATAAAAATATGATAATTTTAAATATTTTAATTATAACAATCTAAATCAAAATAATAACTTAATATCTTTTAATTTTTTCTTTAAAAAATAATAAAATCTTTTAATATTTAATTTAAATAAAAGATAATAAAATAATATTTTTAATATTTTTCCTTATTTTCATATCCATTTATTTAAATTTAATATTCTTTCTTTTATTTTGTTTAGAATTTTTCTCCATGTTTTATTTTCTTTTTTGTACATCTTGTCATTTTTCTTCTTGTACGAGATCGTATCTTCATTCAACTTCACTTCTTTCATCAAAGTATTTTTTTCTTTATCAAAATTCATTTTCTTTTTTCCTTCAAACTTTATGATAGTATTGTTGACTCTTTGATGGACGTTGGAAGAAGTGAAGGAAAAAAGTATTCATCATGATTTTTCTTTGATTTTTATTTTACACCTCGTTTGTAATCAATTCTTCTTTTATCAAATCTAAAGTTGAATTTTTTTCTTTCATGTGAACTTTGAATATTTTTAAGTTATTTGTATTTTTAATCGCACAAAGTTTGTGTTCAAAAGACACCTTGTAACTTTTATCGAATAATTGAGCAACACAACAAATTATGATTAATATTATGAGCATATAAAACATCAAAAATTAATTTGATACCGAATGATTTTTAATTGCAATTGTTCTCGTACCTTCCGCATCCATTTGTTCTCCATTACCAATTCTCACTTTAGAAATAATAGATTCATTGAGCTCTTTGAACAACCACTGTCTATAAGCCAACCTGTGGATTTGTTGATTATAGAACATGTTGATGCAAGGAGAAATTCCCCTTCTACTCCATCCTCTATAACATTGACGACTTCTTTTGGTTGTGATTGCATATCTTTTCTATATGTCCCATTTGATCACATTTGTGACATTTTACATCAAACCTCTACCAACACTTGTTGTATGGGTGATTATTTTTCTTACAATAAAGACAGAATAAAAGACACGTAATTTGGTATTTTGTTATTCTTGACTTGAAGAGAAACTTCACCAGCATATAGTAAAGAAACTTAAACAACGACATGATCTTCTCTCATCAATTTCATTGTTTTTGTGCTTATAAAACATGTAACACTTATGCCAAAGTAATATTAAATAAATCTTTTAGACAAATCATTCGTATTTCCCAATGAGATAATAAATGCTTCATATTTCTCTGACATATTTACTAGAAATTTCTCAATTATTCTGGAATGAGAATATTCTTTACCTAACAATTTTATCTTCTTAGCTAGCAATATCCAATAATTTGTTTGAGTATTCATTAATTATCTCATACTTTTGCTACCTCTGTATCTCAAATTTTCTTATTAAGTTTAGAACTTTCATACCTCAAATTTTCTCGTCTCTTTCGTATTGATCTTTCAAATTATCCCAAATTTTGTTGTGAAACACCAACAAACATATATGATTAACTTTTGTTTTCCTCATTTTTTCTTTTTTTGTGAAATTTCATTTGAACTATGATAGGTTTTTGAAGCAGCGGATCAACTATGTAATCCTCTTCCACAACTTCCCATAAATTCAATCTTTCAAAATAGGATTGCATTCTTACAACCTATAAGTCATAACTTTCGTCATAAAAAATTAGAATAACGAATTCTAAAAACCTTGTTCTCCTTTCATTTTCTTGTAAGAACAAAGTTCTGATATCATTTATGAAAATTTTTAGAGTTTTATGTATATGTATTTTTGATATATAAAAATATGAGTATATTTTATTCATATCCTCTATTTATATATAGATTTAAAATATGACAAAATATCAAATTATAATAATATCTCAATCATCATAAATCAAAATAATAAACTAATCTTATATTATCTCTAATAACTAATTCTTTACTAAATTTAGTGAAATCTAATCTCAGTGGAAAATTTGTCTTTATATGTATTTTTGTATTTTTTTTAACAGATAACTCCTTTTTCGACCATTTTAAAAAAGATAAAATGCAGTGATTATTACACCAACTATATCTCTCATTCAGTGAATTTGTGATTCCAAAACACTTGCATCAAAATGAGTCATAGTTGCACTTCAATTATATAGTAAAGAAACTTAAACAACGACATGATCTTCTCTCATCAATTTCATTGTTTTTGTGCTTATAAAACATGTAACACTTATGCCAAAGTAATATTAAATAAATCTTTTAGACAAATCATTCGTATTTCCCAATGAGATAATAAATGCTTCATATTTCTCTGACATATTTACTAGAAATTTCTCAATTATTCTGGAATGAGAATATTCTTTACCTAACAATTTTATCTTCTTAGCTAGCAATATCCAATAATTTGTTTGAGTATTCATTAATTATCTCATACTTTTGCTACCTCTGTATCTCAAATTTTCTTATTAAGTTTAGAACTTTCATACCTCAAATTTTCTCGTCTCTTTCGTATTGATCTTTCAAATTATCCCAAATTTTGTTGTGAAACACCAACAAACATATATGATTAACTTTTGTTTTCCTCATTTTTTCTTTTTTTGTGAAATTTCATTTGAACTATGATAGGTTTTTGAAGCAGCGGATCAACTATGTAATCCTCTTCCACAACTTCCCATAAATTCAATCTTTCAAAATAGGATTGCATTCTTACAGCCTATAAGTCATAACTTTCGTCATAAAAAATTAGAATAACGAATTCTAAAAACCTTGTTCTCCTTTCATTTTCTTGTAAGAACAAAGTTCCGATATCATTTATGAAAATTTTTAGAGTTTTATGTATATGTATTTTTGATATATAAAAATATGAGTATATTTTATTCATATCCTCTATTTATATATAGATTTAAAATATGACAAAATATCAAATTATAATAATATCTCAATCATCATAAATCAAAATAATAAACTAATCTTATATTATCTCTAATAACTAATTCTTTACTAAATTTAGTGAAATCTAATCTCAGTGGAAAATTTGTCTTTATATGTATTTTTGTATTTTTTTAACAGATAACTCCTTTTTCGACCATTTTAAAAAAGATAAAATGCAGTGATTATTACACCAACTATATCTCTCATTCAGTGAATTTGTGATTCCAAAACACTTGCATCAAAATGAGTCATAGTTGCACTTCAATTCTGTCACACAAGTCAACGTCTATCTAATTTACCTCCATTACAGAGCAGGCGAATTGAATTAAAAAACTGTAAACAATCATTTCAAAAGAAAATGATATAAACACGTATTAACTTCACATGACCTACCTAATATTTGTCAATATTTTTTTTTTCTCCATTTCTATTTAGATACGTTATATTTTATTGTTTTATCGTCCTTCTTCAAACATATTCTAATACTTATCAAACAATATATATTGTAATGATTAAAGATAGTGAAACAATGACATTGCGGAAAAGTAGTAGCCTTGAAAAATCTCCTTGAGATTCTCTTTTACGTTGTTTTTCTTTTCCCCAAATCTAAGTAATGATAGTGGGTTAGTGAACGGATACAAATAGGAAGTTTCTCACTAGAATACCTTTCACTTTGACTATATGGTATGAACATTGTGACTTCCTCACAAAGTGTTTTATATTTGACAAAAATAATAAATTATTACTTTATTTGAAGTAGAGATTTAAGAAAATAAAACATGATAAAAAAAAAAAAAAAAGAGTCATGTTTTACTTTTATTTTCATGTATTGATTGTAACTCCGAGTTTTTGCCAAACTAATAACTGTGCGCTTTTACTTTTTCACCCACAAATTTCTACCAAGTTTTTATCTACAATTCTTTCATATTGGTGAGGGTTTTTTTTTTTCATATTGGTTTATTCAGGGTTGTTGTTTGTGTTTCAGAATGATATTTGGGAGGTTTGTTGACTAATTTTTACAGGGAGTTGGGGTGGTGAAAAAGGATGTATTGGGGTGCATGAAGCAAAAGCATTAAGAACGTATTTTAAATCGACTATATCCAACCTAGATGATGATTTAACACTAAACTCAAGTATTTCAACTTATAAAAAATAATAAATAAACTTTAATTTTATTTTATTTTTACATACAAATGTGATGGTTTAAGAATAGGTATAATATATATTTTGTACTCAGTTTTAATTTTATTTTTAGTCCATAAAGATATTATTTTTTTGTTTTTATAAATATATGATCAAATTAATATGTATATTTAAACAAAATTTATAATTAAGTTAAACTTATATTTTCTTTTTTAATACATTTTTTTTGTAGTTAGGGATAATATAATAAAATGAATTAGTTCCGACGGATAAAAAATGGTGGGAGTTTATGATGATTTTACTACATAGTGTTGTATGCTGCAGCTGTTGTTAACCAGTTTGGTACAACCGATGTAAGCATCACGTCTTGCATAGTGGGCCTGGAGCATAGTGTGTTGGCACAAGTGTCAAGTGCTAGAGAAGAAGTTTGGAAAATGATCGATTGTGACTTGGCTCCACCAACCTTCACCACGTTCCAATGTTAATTGGAACACTTCCCATCTTCTTTATTGCATAGTTTACACAGAAGTGGTTGAAGATGTAAGGCATTTGTTTCATCTTATTTGAGAATGAGCAAAATATAAATACTGGTTTGTTAGTTTAGGAACTAGATAGATGGCCCTGACACTAGTAAAGTTCAAAGAAATTTTTTTTTTTTTTATTTGCATGTTTTATTTATCAAATTTTGAAAACATTACTGTTATTCTCTTTCAAATTCATAGAAAGCTTGCTTATGGTATACATTATGTGATGGTTTTTTAACATCAAAATCTGGTTTCATAACTTAAATTGTCAATATGACTCTTTTGCGATTTGAAACCGCGAGAATAAATAAATAGAAACCAAAAATGATTCTTCCAAAATTGAAATACCATAAATATAAATTCACACTTATCTCTTAGTATTTGAACCTCGCAATCTTTGGCTTAAACTTGAACCTCAGTGTAACAAGTCCCACGATGGGGAGGTTTTCTTACCAGGGAGGCCTTATAAGGTAGGAGGTTCTCCAACCTCTTGAGCTAGCTTTTGAGGGATGGTTCCCCTCTTAGCCTTATGGTTGTTTCAATGATGCTTTCATTGAGAGCTAGCCAGGTATTGTAACAAGTCCTACATTGGGGAGGTCTCCTTACCAGAGAGGCCTTATAAGGTAGGAGGTTCTCCAACCTCTTGAGCTAGCTTTTGAGGGATGGTTCCCCTCTTAGCCTTATGGTTGTTTCAATGGTGCTTTCATTGAGAGTCAGCCTCCTCGAGAAGGGCTACCCACGGAGTCTTCTGACCGGTAAGAAGGCCGAGTGAAGTGCCGGTGAGTGAAGTGTCGTGGAGTGCAGCCATCGAGGACGCTGACTTTTGAACGGGGAGGTCTCCTTACCAGAGAGGCCTTATAAGGTAGGAGGTTCTCCAACCTCTTGACCTAGCTTTTGAGGGATGGTTCCCCTCTTAGCCTTATGGTTGTTTCAATGGTGCTTTCATTGAGAGCCAGCCTCCTCGAGAAGGGCTACCCACGGAGGGTTCTGACCGGTAAGAAGGCCGAGTGAAGTGCCGGTGAGTGAAGTGTCGTGGAGTGCAGCCATCGAGGACGCTGGCTTTCAAACGGGGAGGTCTCCTTACCAGAGAGGCCTTATAAGGTAGGAGGTTCTCCAACCTCTTGAACTAGCTTTTGAGGGATGGTTCCCCTCTTAGCCTTATGGTTGTTTCAATGGTGCTTTCATTGAGAGCCAGCCTCCTCGAGAAGGGCTACCCACGGAGAGTTCTGACCGGTAAGAAGGCCGAGTGAAGTGCCGGTGAGTGAAGTGTCATGGAGTGCAGTCATCGAGGACGCTGGCTTTCGAACGGGGTGGTATTGTAACAAGTCCCACATTGGGGAGATCTCCTTACCAGGAGGCCTTATAAGGTAGGAGGTTCTCCAACCTCTTGAGCTAACTTTTGAGGGATGGTTCCCCTCTTAGCCTTATGGTTGTTTCACTCTGCCCATTTAAAACGAACAAGAAAATCACGATAAATGAACTGAAATTCTCACTGTTATAGGTATATTTTTATCTGTCATAATTTGATACTTAAGGGACATTAAAGCCGAGTAGACTTTTTCAATTGGAACCAGAAATCTATAACTTTTCACCGCAACACGATTTAGCATTCTGGTATTGATGATTAGTTTAGTAAATTTATTTCATACACTAGCTCTATGCATTCCTGAGAATTAGAAAGCGAACCATATTCAACGATTTTATATGAAATAAAAAATTTCCCTATGAAATTAAATTACTCTGTATGTGAATTTCCTTGCTTTCCATCACTCATGCCCTCCTTTACAGAGCACATTACTCTGCAAGTTTGCTTTCTTTCCTTTATTACTAATTTATAAATGGTTTGAGAGTTCAGACCAAAATGTTTTTTACATGAAAAAGGTGTATTTAATAGTTGACAAAGAACTAGTAATGGCAGACAGCACTTTTGATTTCATGTGTGTGAGGTGTTGGTAGGATTCAAAGAAGGATCTTAATAATCTTTCCTACTGAAACTGAAAAGCCTACTTCTGAACTAGGTGCCATGATCTATCCCGATTGTGTCCTCCTATTATATATACAGAGCTTATAGGCTAATATAATTTGTTTTAATTGTGCTAATTTCGTTGATCCATGATTGCAATTAGTACTGATCAATACAACTATAGGATTAGTTTATAAGTGTACCTAATAATACAACTTGGTCGTGCAAGTTTTTACCAGCCATGTTATGTTAGAACTGGGTGAAGTTGAAGAAAGGTGCTGCAGATTGGCAAAGAATTCAGTACTTTTGCCATCTGTTCTACCGGTAAGCACTTCCCAAGTAGACTATTTGATATTTATTTGTTCTTAATTATATGATATAATAAAAATTACAAATATCGTATTTTACATTACACGATAGAAAATACTAGACTATTTGATGGGAGAATATGAAGTTTTAATAGCCTTGGGTAACATTAAATAGCTTGTTATGTTTGTAGTGACATTTTTTATTGACACTAATTTTCAAACCGTGTCAAAAGCAAGAAAATGACGTGGAAGTAACTCTTGAATTTTTCTCTGTCTGTCTGATCCATTTCTCAATATATCTTATGTGTTACCAAACACATTTTAAGTCAAAACATACACGTATATTTTTTCACGTCCGTTCTGCAAAACGTGTATATGGGCCAAAGCCAACTAAAGTTGACCAGTAAAACCTGAGTTCTCTGAAATTGGTATAATCTATTATACTAATGCTGGAATAGCTCATAAAATCAGGTTTTCTCCATCACAAACTTGGAAATGGAGAACCAAGTGATGCTCCTTCCCCTCCTCGCGACCCTCTTCACCATTCTCATAGCTGATGTTGCATCTGCTTCATGCCCCATGGATCTCACCTATGTTCAGACCATTCCCTGGAACACTTCAATCTGCAAAGACCCTATTGATGAAGGTCCCTGCTGCCAAACACTCTCCAGCATCTTCGGCATAGGCCTTGCTGAACGTCTCAAAGAAACATCCATATTTTACCTTCCTGATGTTAACACTTCCTCCACTTGCTTATCTGATTTCAAACACCAACTCGCAGCCATCTCAATAAAACCAAACATAGTCCCTCTTTGCTTCCCTGACCCAACCCAGTTTGTTACTAACTCTTCAGCTTGTGCAGGGATTAGAACCCTACAAGATTGGAACCAAAAGGTGGGCATGGATAGTCCAGTGAATACATCATGCAAAGGGGACCTAAAAGACCAAAATCTCTGCAGTATCTGCTCTGACGCTGCTTTGGAATTGATTACCAATCTGACCCGTATTGACCCCAATGCTAATGCCAGCAAATGCTTTTACTACGTAGTTTTGTTTGCTGCAGCTGTTGCTAATCCGTTTGGCACAACAGATCTAAGCGCTACTGGATGCATACTTGGCTTGCCACAACCATCTAATGCAGTAATAAGAGGGTCATCAAATAAGAGAGGAAAAGTGATCAAGCTAGTTTTTTCGTTATTGGCTGCTGTTATTGGTGTTGTGCTTGCTTTTGTACTGATGGTCGTGTACAGGAAGTGGAATAAGAGAAGGAAGGAGAATGTTCATCACAGGGAAATTGAAAACGAGGTCAGGGCCAGTGTTTTACCAATAACTGGTGCCAAATGGTTTCACATATCAGAGCTTGAACATGCCACGAGTAAATTTTCTCAGAGCAATATGATTGGCCAAGGTGGTGATGGGGTTGTATACAAGGGAACTCTTTTAGATGGAACTGAAGTTGCAATTAAGGAAATTTTTTATTTGGAAACTGAAGGGGATGAAGAGTTCTGTTATGAACTGAAGATCATAAGCAAAATAAAGCACAAGAATCTTCTTGCTCTTCAAGGTTGTTGCGTTACGAGTGATAATTTGATAGGTAAGAGGAGGTTTTGGGTTTATGATTACATGCCTAATGGCAACCTCGATTACCATTTGTCTCTTACTGGGGCTGAAAGGTTAACATGGCTACAAAGAAAGAACATAATCATTGATGTGGCTAAAGGGCTTGCTTATTTGCATTATGAAATCAAACCCCCCATATATCACCGTGACATAAAGGCAACCAACATACTTTTGGATTCCAGAATGAATGCGAAATTGGCAGATTTTAGCTTGGCCAAACAAGGTAGTGAGAGACAGTCTCATCTCACCACAAGGGTTGCGGGCACATATGGTTATTTGGCACCAGAGTATGCTCTGTATGGACAACTAACAGAGAAGAGTGATGTGTACAGTTATGGTATTGTGATTCTGGAAATCATGAGTGGAAGAAAAGTGATTGATACTTTGAATTCATCTGCAGATTCACTGACAGATTGGATATGGACACTTGTGGAATCAGGAAATATGATGGAAATATTTGATGAGTCAATAAGAAAAGGGCCCCAAAAAATTATGAAAAGGTTTGCTATTGTTGGCATGCTATGTGCTCATGCTGTGGTAGCTTTAAGGCCTACTATTGCTGAGGCCCTCAAGATGTTAGAGGGTGACATTGGCATTCCCCCATTACCTAACAGACCAATGCCACTGGGTCATGAGTCATTCCAATCTTCTCTGTTGCATGGTTTACACAGGAGTGGTTGAAGATGTAATCCACTTTTTCATCTTATTCAAGTATAGGCATGAGTCATTTCAATAAATAATTTATAATATTGAATCATGTACATTTTTTACAACTAAAGCATCTAGTATGCATATTAAAATCGAGTCAAAAGTTTAGTGGAATTAAAAAATTTTGAATACAAAAGAGAGACAGTGTGCCCCATTTTGTCTTCATGCCTAATAATTTTTATTTCAACAACTTCGTTGTGTTCTGCCTTATCTTCTCCCTATGCATTAACAAATGTAGATGTTGACATAACTCTGTTCAATGCCATTCCATTTCCACATAATTTTGTCATAACGTAGAGTGGTTAGGCAAAACTTCAAATGAAAATAAATTAGTGGAGAGAAACATCATGCAGAATTTTATCAAATATTTGACATTGTAACTCAAAATCTAAGTTCAAACCCTACTTTACATTGTATTTTGTCCCAACCGGTAACATCATCCATTATGATATTATTTGTTGGAGAATTACGGGGACAAACACTACAAAAATCACTAATGCACCAAAAATTAACTATATAAAAAAATATATAATAATATTACAATTTTCGTTCATCTATTTTTTTTTCCAAAAAAATTTAATTTTTATTTAATATAAAATTCCAACTAACACTTAAATTCTAACAATATTATAAAGATATTTTAAAAAAAAAAATATACCATCTATTTTATTCAAAACTAAAAGTTAGTTCCATACGATAATTTTATTCTAAGTTTCTCTTTAAAAGTAAAATATTAGATGCAAGAAAGGATAATATTTATTATTTTTCATTAAAATATAGTTTAATACGAAACATAATTATTTTAGATTTTATTTAAAAGCGAATTGCTTTTACTTTTTTAATTATTTATTTTTAATTTCATTCCTTGTGTTCCAACGTTTTAAAGATTTCATTATCACTTTAAGAAACACATGAAACTTCAAACGAGACTTTACTTGTTCCTACAAGTGAAAAAGAAGATTTGTATAAACTAGGGACCAATTTGTTACACGTGATACAATAATGTCTCATAAGGATAACATTCGATAGTGTATAACGTCTGATTGTACTATAAGACTTTGAAAATTAAATATTGGACATTATTCAATGTTACGTAAGATTTGGTGTTACATACGATAATATTATCTTATTTGTTAAAGACAAAGTAAATTTGACTACTTTATCATCCAAAATATATTTTCCCTTTGTTTATTGATAATATACAAGTTTGAATACTTGAGTTTGACATTGAACGTCATAATTATATATATATATATATATATATATATATATATATATATATATATATATATATATATATATATAAGTTTTAAATAATTAATTAAATATATTATCTTCCGTTGTTTTATGTTTATCAGATAGCTTATTAGATAATTTTATTAAATATGTAAATTCCTTTGATTTTCAATTAATTAGATAATTTGTAATAGCTTCATTTTTTATCTTTTAACTTCTAATTTTATAAGCTATTATCCAATTTATAAATTCTTAGCTAATCTATGATCTCGTTTTGAGTTTTTTGTTTTTGTTTTTAAGTAGTATTTTGTTGGAGTTCGAGTATACAGCTAATACTCATAAATTCAAAATTCACCAACTAAAATATCAGATTCATACAAAATAAGATATTTTCAAAACCTATCTTTTATAAAACTCTAGTCAAACTTTGCATATCTTTTAAACATCATCAATTTCTACCTTTTAAATTGTTCACACGATTTCATGTTCCAAATTTGTGTAGTTATTTGAGTTTGCAGAGGAAAAAATTGACAAACAAACTCAACTTTAACAAATATTTTTTAAAAAGATTGAATTTAAGCAAAAAAAAAGTTAAATAAAACATTAAAATCACACACACGTCGTAATAAAAACGTGCAAACAAACCTTTCCAAACTTAAAATTCTTTGATCAGACCTACTTTTCTTATATTTATTTTTAGAATGAATTGATTTATATATATAATTTTGAATTTTAATTTTAATTTTTTTCAATATACATACGTACATTTAAAAAATATTTAGCAGCGAAAAAGACTCACTACCGTTGCGATATACTTTTACCCAAATAAATAAAAAATGTCAAATGCGACCGACAAAAACCACCGTTCAATTAACCGCCAGAAGCGACTTCTAAATCAAAACGTACGTTTCCGAAGTGCCTTTAGACCCACTGAACTGACCAAAGCAATCTAAGTTTGACTGGCAACATTATTCCTCTGATATCCAACGTTAAAATGCTTCAAATCTAAGGTTTCAAAAACCATTGTTTCGCCGTCACAAATCTCCAAATGGAAAGCCACATCATATTATTCCTTCCCCTCTTCGTGTCCCTCTTCATCACCATTCTCATACCCGGTGCTGCTCCTTCATCATGCCCAATCAACTTCACCTACGTTCAAACCTTCCCTTGGAACACTTCAACTTGCACAAACCCACTCAACAAACAATCCTGTTGCTCAACCCTCAACACCATCTTCCACATAGGCCTCTCCAAACACCTCAAACTAACCTCTTTTTTTCAACTTCCCAATGAAAACATTTCCTCTATTTGCTTATCAGATTTCCAAGACAAGCTCACAACCATGTCAGTTCACCCATCTATGTACCTTCTTGCTTTCCCAACCCCTCTCAGTTTGTTACAAACTCTTCCACTTGTGCAGGTGTTGAAACTAGTCAAGATTGGGAACAAAAGGTGGACTCGATTAGACTTAGCCCGGTACACACTTTCTGCAAAGGAGATCTTCATGACCAAACTAGCTGTAACAATTGCATTGCAGCTAGCTTGAAAGTGGCTCTTCAGCTTACTAGTTCTGACCCAAATGCTAGTGACTCGGATTGCTTTTCATTCGCATCGCTGTATGCTGCAGCGGTTGTTAATCCAGAAGGTACAACTGATGTGAACACGATTGGTTGCATATTGAGCGTGCCACTTTCTAGTGAAGTGGCAAAAGGGTCATCGAATAAGAGACGAAAAGTTATGAAGGTGGTTTTTGCATTATTGGGAGCTATTGTGGGGGTTGTGATTGTTTTTGTGCTGATGGTGGTTATGTACAGGAACTGGGACAAGAGAAGGAAGGAAAATGTTTATCACAGGGAGATTGAAAACGGTGTCAGGAACAGTGTTTTGACGAACACTGGTGCGAAATGGTTTCACATATCGGAGCTTGCACGTGCCACTGATAGATTTTCGCAGAGGAATAAGGTTGGTCAAGGTGGTGATGGGGTTGTGTACAAAGGGAAGCTCGGGGATGGCACTTTGATTGCTGTTAAGGAGAATTTAAATTTGGAAAGTAAAGGGGATGAAGAGTTCTGCTATGAAGTGGATATCATAAGCAAAATAAAGCACATGAATCTTCTTGCTCTTCGGGGTTGTTGCATATCAAGTGATAGTTTGAAAGGTAAGAGGAGGTTTCTGGTTTATGATTTCATGGCTAATGGCAACCTCAATTACCAACTGTCACTTACTGGGGATAATAGGTTAACATGGCCACAAAGGAAGAACATAATCCTTGATGTGGCAAAGGGGCTTGCTTATTTGCATTATGAAATCAAACCTCCAATTTATCATCGTGACATAAAGGCTACCAACATACTTTTGGACTCCAAAATGAATGCAAAATTGGCAGATTTTGGGTTGGCCACGCAAGGTAGTGAGGACCAGTCTTCTCTCACCACAAGGGTTGCTGGCACATATGGTTATGTGGCACCCGAGTATGCTTTATATGGGCAACTAACTGAGAAAAGTGATGTTTACAGTTTCGGTATTGTGATTCTGGAAATCATGAGTGGAAGAAAAGTTATTGATACTTTGAATTCATCTGCAGATGCAATCACGGATTGGGTATGGACACTTGCAGAATCGGGAAAGATGCGGGAAATATTTGATGAGTCAATAAGAGAAGGGCCATGGAAAATTATGGAAAGGTTTGTTCATGTTGGAATGCTATGTGCTCACGCAATGGTGGCGTTAAGGCCTACTATTGCTGAGGTCCTTAAGATGTTAGAGGGTGACACTGACGTTCCCAAACTACCAGATAGGCCAGTTCCTTTGGGTCATGCGTCCTTTCAATCTTCTCTGTTGCATGGTTTGCAAAGAAGTGGAAGATCTATGCAACATGTTTCATCCTATTCATGAGAAGAATATTGATTCAACCTCTGCGCTTGTTTGTGTGGCAACTTCGGTTTATAATCATCACATTTCTTAGGTGTAGGATTAATTAACCCTTTTAGTGAGAGTTTTATATATATATATATACAACATTTCAATTTGAGACATGAAAACTTAAATTTGTATCACTTGAATATAAGTGCAAGTAGAGATATGATTTATTGTAAATGTGAAACAGAAGGAAGTATATATATATTGCCCATATTTTATAGAGCTTTTATCCACAGCATCCTTAATTATTGTTATTTTATATATTATTGTTGTTCTATTATACAAGTTTTGTGGAATGATACGTAATAAAAGAGAAGGAAACCAATTATTAGGATATGCTTCAATTAATATGACCATTTAAATTAATGGTCTCTAGTGGTTGGAAGGGAAAATTTTACTAAAGATAAGATAATTATCTAAGTTGTTTGATAGAAATTAATCATAGATAAAACTGCCAAAAAATAATAGTAATCAATAAAAAAAAACTTTTCCAACAATAAAAAGTGTGCTTTATAGCAACTCTTACTAAATTGTCATTAATACATTTATCAACTATTTATATAACAATTACTATCTTTGTATTTTTCACCAAATTTAGTTTTAATTTTTATAGTTAAAAATTAATTAACTAATCTTTAAATTAAAAAAAATAATCTTTTTTATCAATTTTATGATAATAAAAAATTATTAAAGTATAAAGAAAAATTAAAATAATATTTTTTTTAAACTTTGTTAAACTATAAAATAAATTAAATAAAATGATAGAAATTATATATTTTTTAAATTGAAGAACTAATTAATCAATTTTTAAACAAAAAAAAACTGAAATTAAAATTGACAGAAAATACAAAGACTAAAAACATTTAACCATTAAATACTCACATTCCTTTTAGTTATAAAGTAAACACACGTATTCCTTCTATTTTAATAAAATAATAAAATATTATCTCATTTTTAGAATAGATATTCGTCTTTATTATATTAACACTCTTTTTTCATTTAATAAACTCTTATTTTATTTTAATTAAAAGTAACATATTCATAAAATTTAAATGAAAAATTGAAAATTAAAATTATAAAAATATAGAAATTGATTTTTCATAAAAAAAATTATTAAATAAATTCCTTTCATTTTTTTGTAAGGTATTATTGAATGATTTTCACATATTGTGGGAACGTTGTGCAAGAAACTATTGGACTAGCAACAATAACAGGATCACAAGCATATTAGCATTTGATTTAATGGGATATTGTAATTTTAAATAGAAAAAAATATGATTTTCTTTCTTATGATTATTAAAAAAATTCTTTTTAATCTTTTTGCTTTCAAAATTATCAATTCGATCATTTAAATTTTGAAAATATATGAACTTTAGTTCTTTTATACTTAAATTGCATTGCAACTTTTATTCTTAATAGTATTGATAAATAAATAGATAATCATCCTTTATATCTTAATTTTATATTTGATAATAATTTTTCTATAATAAAATTAATAAAATAATTAAATTTATATATATTTTTAATTTTAAAGACTGATTTCTTAAGTTTTAAAATATAAAGATGAAAACTAATTTTTATATTGAAAAAAATATTTAATCTTTTAAAATATCATTCATTTTCATATATTATTAAAAACATTACAAGAAAAAGTTTTAGCGATCGAAAAATTCGATCGCTAATGTAAAAATCGGTCACTAATCAATTAACGACCAAAATGTGTTATCGTAAAAGGCTAAGTCGCTAATGTATTAGCGATCGATTTTCATTTCTAGTAAAAATAGCGATCGATAATGTGGTCGCTTATTCCTTAAATACCTAAATAACGACCGAAATTAATATTATTAAATCGATCGCTAAATTGGTGACAAAGTTAAAAAATAGCGATCGATTTATATCGATAACAAAGTTAATTTATTTACGTTTTCATTTATTTACAACCCCTCTATTATCTAGATGCTCCCTAAGTTAATTTATTTACATTTTTATTATTTACAACCCCTCTATTATCTAAGCTCCTAAGCCTTTATATTACATTTTTATTTGAACTTGATGCCTTAAAGTTTGAGATCGATACTCCAACCACTAAGCTTACAGTGGATTTTCCGATAATAACTTACAAATAAATTATATTTATATACAAATAAATGTATATTGGTATAAATATATAAATATAAAATCTATAAATACAAATATATTTATATATTTATATATTTAAAATTTAATTTATAAAATGGAAAAAAAATTCTTAATAGCTTGAAATAGAGATGAAAGAAAAGAAAAAGATAAGAACCCTAATATTTTAATAAAGAATTTATAATATAAACATTAAAATATTAAATATAATATTATATTTTTCAAAAGATAATAAATGTTTTTAATTCATTATTTATAAATTTAATTAATTAAAAAATATTAATATTATTTGTTCATCATTTAAGAAAAAAATAAAATATAAATATTAAATATTAAAAATAATATTATATTTTTAAAAACAAATTTAAAAAAAGGTTTAAAAACATATATAAATTATATTTACATGTACAAAATATTAAAGATATCCACATTTAAAAAATACAAAAAAATTATACTTTAAATTGATAAAATATATTTAAAAAAGTTATATTTATTAAAGTATTAAAAATATTTTGTAATATATAAGTTAAAAAAATTATCATTAAAATTTTTAAAAATTATTAGTTTTGTAATTTATACACAATGAAAATAAATTACAAATATTATAATATATTAGTATATTTGTATAGTATAGTATATTTGTATTCTAATTTTTAATTAAACTAAAATTACGCTAATAATGTATAATAATATATATATGAGGGGATAATAAATTTAATCCAATTACTTATGTATATATCCTTTTTTAACTTTTTTTTTCTTTTAAACTTTTCACATTCTACATTTTTATGAAAACTCTATCATTTCTACTACATTATCATCCTCATGTCTTTCCATATTCTACTTTATCTTTACAATAATTAGTCTTCTTTTATATGATACTTTATTTTCTATTTTTATTATTTATTTTCTTATAATTTAAATAATTAATATTATTTTAACATTTATTTTTATGATTTTTACTATAATAAATCAAATAAAATGGTTCGATAATATCAATTAATTAAAATCATCACATCAAAAGCTTAGATAACTACATTAAAATTATTAATTTTTAAAATATAAATATATTTTAAAAAATACTAAAATTATAGATTGGAAAGAAAATAGAATAAACAAATACTCTTTACTTTATATTATATTTAAGTGTATGCACAAATGTTGATCTTCTTAACTATAAAGAAATAGTAGAAAAATATAAAGATAAAATTTGAAGAAGTGAATTTTGAAGATAAAGACTATTTTTATATAAATTTATTCTAGTATATCAATTAACAATAATAATACATCAAATTTAAAAACTAAACTAAAAAAAAGTAAGTTTAAATTTATAAAAAAATACATTACTAAAACTATCATATTATGTTAAGATTTTCATTATTTTCGTTAATTATAAATTTAAATGTGTTTCATAAATAAAATTATAAATTTAAAAATATTTACACTTTTGATCCATCATAAATAAAAAAATAGTCTCTTATAAATGTTGTTCTATTTTAATCCATCATTAAATTTTGTTTTATATTATTTAAGACAAATATTTAAATTTTTTTATTTTATTTTTATGTATTTTTAACTTCAAATTTATTTTTTATTTTTATTATTTATTTTCTTATAATTTGAAGTCATTAATATTATTTTAACATTTACTTTGATGATTTTTACTATAACAAATCAAATAAATTTATTTAATAATATTATTTAATTAGAATAATCAGATAAAATATTTAGATGACTAGATTAAAATTATTAATTTTAAAAAATATAAATATATTTAAAATAAAAATAATAAAATTATAGGTTGAGAAGAAAAAAACTAGAATGAACAAATATTCTTTATTTATAATATATTTAAGTGTGTATCAATCTTGATCTTCATAACTATAAAAAAAATAGTTAAGAGATGTGAAGATAAAAATTAGAGAAAGTGAATTTTGTAGATAATTTTTTTTATAAATTCAAACACTCACATCGAAAAGAAAAGACATGAAAGAAGAAAAAACAAATTTGATGACTTATCATATTATTAAAAATTTGGATGAAATAATTATGTATAATACGTTTTTAGTATATTATGTTTTTAAGTTTGTTAATAGAGAAAAAGTTTCGAATTCAAAATGTTAAATATTTTTAAATATTAAAATTGACTTTATAAAAAATTAGGAAAAAAACAATTAATCCAAAAATATAATAGTGATAAAAATATTATAAAAAAGAGTTCAAAAATATATTATAATATTTTTAGTTTTAGTTTAATTATATTTTTAATTCTCAAAGTAGAAAAATATATTGAAATTATTTTAATTTAATAAAATATAATTTTAAATTTTTAATAACTAAATTAAGAGATTAAATAATAAAAAGTTTAATTAATTAAATTTATTATTTAGAAACTAAAATTATAGTTTCTCTATTTTAAAAATTAAAATAAATATTTAAAAATAAAAATAAAAACTAATATTATCTTAAATTTATTAAAAGTATAATTAAATCTCCATTTTCTTATCCAATTATAGAAATTTTTTAATAAAAATCCAATATATAAAAAGTTGAAATTTTAAAAAGATACATGCTTTAACTTACGTTAACTGTGTTTTTTTTTTGAACTCACAAGAAAAACTAGGCTTTGCAAAAATAAAGTTAATAATTTTGAAGTTATTTCAATGATAAAGTTTCAAAATGTGATCTATGTATTTAGTGGTTGAAGTATCAATTTTTAATTATAAAATATTAGGTTTGAATCATGTCAGTGATAATTCTCTAATTTAAGTAAATTTTTGGTGAAAATACTTTCACGTTGGTTCATCTAGAAGCGTTGAATGTGCGAAAAGATTTTCACGTCGGTTCATTTGACGTGAAAGTACTTGTCAGTTAGAATATGTTTAATATTTAACTTTCAATGTCATTTTTTAACCAACCGACGTTGAAAATGTATTCAACGTTGATTCAGCTTTTAACTGACGTTAAATGACTACGTTAAAAATATATTGTGTAGTAGTAATATATATATTTATATATATATATATATATATATATATATATATATATATATATGAATTTAGTTACATTATAAGTTTTTATAGGGCTAAAAAATATCAGTACTAAATATTATATTTAGTTAAAAAATATTTTTAAAATTTGAGAAATTAAATTATTTGAAAAATATAAAGATTAAAAATATATTAAAAGAAATACTTATCCTTGTCATTATTAAATGATAGCTAAGCGGATTTTAATGGCTCTATCTTCAAGTTCAAGAGGTTATGTCAGTGCCCTGACTAAGTGAAATAAATAACTTACATTTAGAAAGAAAAAATACTGTTGGAGACATATCATAATTAAAGTATGATACATAAACTATATTATCTTTTTTTGCAAAATTCAAACTTAATTAATATTTTTTTTATAGCGTAATTCCTTTTATTAGACTGAATTCTTATAGATGAAATAAAGAATTGGTATACTTGTCTACTACTAATAACGATAATGATTTGGAATTCCAATCTTAGCTGGACATAATTGAAAATTTTGGACCACTTGGCTTACTTTACTACTTAAAATGTACACTTATTGACTTCGACCAACCACCACAAAGCATGTTCATGGTTGGGGTGCATTTAAAATCACCATAAACAAAAAGCAAAATGACCAAAGTAGGGCTTTGACTTTACAAGTTGATGTAAAAAGGATGAAAGTATATTAGGATATTTATAAGTCTTTCCAAGGACGCTATACATATGTCAAAAATCAAATTTAATCTCAATATCAAATGTGATCAAATTACATATACAAAATAAAAAGAATCCAAGATATTTACGGCACGGTTTTGAAGGTCAATATGAATCTTCAAATGCCAAGTGGTGGCCGTGAATTGCTGACTATTACCTAATTCTTATCCAAATACTTCCTTTAGCACAACCAAACTACTCTAAACTTGCAATCTATGTTGCCCTTGTACTTGTTGAAAGATACGATGAAAAGTATGAGTTTGATCTTCCACTTTGCAAACCATGCAACAAAGAAGATTGGAAGGCCTCGTGACCCAGTGGCACTGGCCTGTCTGGTAATTGGGGTATGTCAATGTCACCCTCTAACATCTTAAGGGCCTCAGCAATAGTTGGCCTTAGTGCCACCATTGCATGAGCACAGAGTATTCCCACCAGGACAAACCTTTCCATGATCTTCTCTGGCCCCTCTGTTCTTATTGACTGGTCGAAAATATCCTCCATGTTCCCTGATTTTGCAAGTGTCCATGCCCAATCCGTGATCAAAACAACTGATGAACTCATGGTATCAAGCACTTTTCTTCCACTCATGATCTCAAGAATCACAATGCCAAAACTGTACACATCACTCTTCTCAGTTAGTTGCCCATAAAGAGCGTACTCTGGTGCTAAATAACCATATGTGCCAGCAACCCTTGTGGTGAGATGAGACTGGCCATCATTCCCTTGCTTGGCCAACCCAAAATCTGACACTTTTGCTTTCATTTTGGAATCCAAAAGTATGTTGGTAGCCTTTATGTCACGGTGATAAATTGGGGGTTTGATCTCATAATGCAAATAAGCAAGCCCCTTGGCCACATCAAGGATTATGTTCTTTCTTTGTGGCCATGTTAGACTATTAGCCCCAGCAACTGACAATTGGTAACTGAGGCTGCCATTAGGCATGAAATCATAAACCAGAAACCTCCTCTTACCTTTCAGATTATCACTTGAAATGCAACAGCCCCGAAGAGGAAGAAGATTCCTGTGCTTTATTTTGCTTATGATCTCCACTTCATAGCAGAAATCTTCATCCCCTTTTGTCTCTAAATCAAATATTTCCTTAACCGCAACCACAGTACCATCCGAAAGAGTCCCTTTGTACACAACCCCATCACCACCTTGGCCAACCATATTCCTCTGAGAAAATTTATTTGTGGCTCGCTCAAGCTCCGATATGTGAAACCATTTGGCACCAGTATTAGGCAAAACACTGTTCCTGACACCATTTTCAACCGACCTGTGATACATATCTTCCTTCCTTCTCTTATCCCAGTTCCTGTATATCACAATCAACACAAAACCAAGCACAAGACCAACAACAGCACCCACCAACCCAATAATAAGTTTCAGCTCTTGTTTCTTATTCGATGAATCTTTTACAGACAGTGGCATACCTAGAATGCAACCAGCCGTGCCCAAATTTGTCGGACCAAACTGATTAACAATAGCTGTGGCATACAAAACTGTGAAGTAAAAGCACTTCGTGGCATTTGGGTCCAAACTGTTGAGTTGGGAAGTCACTTTGAGACCAGCATCAGAACAAATGCTGCAACGAGTTTGATCACTGAGATCCCCATTGCAAGAAGTGTCTAAAGGGCTAATCATACCCACTTTTTGCTTCCAGTCATCGATGGTTATGATACCTGCACAAGTGGAAGAGTTTGTAACAAACTGGGAGGCGCTAGGAAAACAAGAAGGGACCAAAGATGAGTTCATTGACAAGGCTGAGAGTTTGGTTTGGAAATTGGATAGGCAAATGGAGGAAGTGTTTTCATCAGGAAGTTGAAACCAGGAAGTGTCTTTGAGGTGTTGGGATAGCCCTATGCCAATTACACTGAGCAAAGCTTGGCAACAGTGCTCCCTATCAACAGGGTCTCTGCAGGATGAAGTGTCCCAGGGAAAGGTTTCAACGTAGCTGAGATCCATGGGGCATGTGGTAGATGCAGCACCAGCTATGGAAACAGTGAAGAGGAAAATTAGAAGAGAAAGGGAAATCACTTGCTTATCCATTTTGTGGTGGCCACACAAACTTGAAACATTGAATTTGGGACCATTGGTCTCTTATAACATAACCACTCTCAGAAAACTTGCAAGTTTTACTAGTCAACCCTGGCTTGCGGTAGTCGAAAGGCACGTTTAGTATGGGATGCATGGTAAAAGTAAAATAAAAAATTGATTTAGAAGTTGTTTTAGAAATCAAGAAACAAACGGGGTTTGGTATTTTTTTATGTTGACCGTGGTCAAATTGTTACTACCATTTTGAACATCATGTTTTTGGTTTTGGTGTCTGATAAAGACATTTGCGGGTTCTTTCTAGTTTCCTTAGTCTCAAGTCTAAATAAGCGAGCTTTTTAAAACTGCACAGGTTAATGATTGTGCATCATCAACGGACTAATAATACTCATTAATCGTATTTTTTAATTTTAAAATAGTAAATAAAGACAAATTAATAGCTATATTTATAATATTAAAAATTAAATTCTAGAACTCAGTATATAGAATGTTCTATTAAACGTGTCATAAAATGTAAGTTCAACGACATGTAATAACCAAAAATGTTTGTTGTTACCAAGGGGGAGGCGATATCCCTAAAGCTTTACAAAAAGTATTATATACATATACTACAAACTTTTTATATTTTTAATTTCACTAATAAATTTATAATATTTTTTAACTTTTTATTTCTTAATTATTAATAATTTAAATCATTGAAAGAGCATAGAAAATTTGGTCACTAAAAGAGCTTACAAATGTCCTCTTTAGTCATTTTATTATATATAATTATTAATTTTATATAAACTTTTATATTATACCTTTTTTTTTAGTTTTTGCTTTTGATAACATAACCCTTACGATTTATTTATTTTCATAAACTTTTTTAAAATATTTACTTTTTATAATATAAATATCAATTTAAACTTTTCTATCATTTCTATATATGACTTGAACCTACAAAAATTTCTTGTTAATTTTGTGTTTTTTTTTTATATAAATTACGCTATAAAAACTATGACCATTTTCTTAAAACATATCTATAGGGCGCCCCTAAAGCACCTATTGCACATTATGTACACAAACCAAACGTGATGAGAGCCTAAAAATATACAAACCTAGTAGGAAAAAAAATTAATATCGAAAGACACAACTAAAAAAAATACTCAATGTTAAATAATATTACTAAATGCATAAAATCACCCATAAATTAGTTTATATATATACTAATCTTAATTATTTTGATCCATCCAATTTTCTTCTCAAGTTACACAGCTACATATAATAATATCCATTAACTGTTATGATTGAAACTAAATAAATATAATTAATATCAATCATTGAATGTTGATATTTTTTATTAAACAAAATTTTTTTTTTAATAAAATAGTCTAAAATAAGTATACCCAATTGTAAAGGGACTTTTACTATCAAACGAACCCTTTTTAGTGTTCAATTATTGGTTAAGCTGATATGAACAATCCAGCCATCCATCAAATTTAATAACATGTAAATAGGCTAACGCAAAACTATCAAAATTTAAAATAAGTAAATAAAAACACATAACCTTGGTTTTGAAGTAAGAAAAATTATATTGTTATTCATTTTTGTTACATCTTTCAACTTGGAGAGACATGTAGTGTTGAGGTTAAAACTTTTACAAGAAAATATTTTAATGATAACAAACTATCAAAATGCTAAAATAAGATTTGTTCTTCAAAGAGTAGTTTATTATTTGATAATGCATCATAACCTCTGGGAGGTTATCATTAAACGAATCTTTATAAATCCAACTAATGTCAATTGTTAAATACTCAAATGAAATTTCAATTATTTATTTTAAGAAAGAAAAAATAAAATTAGAAAAAGAAAATTTGAAAAGCAACCAACAAGATAAACAAACAATCAATATACTATTATATAAAATGGACAAGTCATATAAATTCAAAAAAATATTATAATAAAGCCCCACAAATAAGCTTTCCTATGTCACCATAATCATGATAAGAAATGATTAGTAAGAAAAGTTGAATGAGGTTAATATTTAAAAAGAATTTGTCTATTGACATATTTTATTATTAGCGACGGAATTTATCTGTTGATGATATATATATATATAGAGAGAGAGAAAAAAAAAACTAACCACATAGTTCTGGGTAGTATTTTATTTGATAGAAATAATCTTAAATATTGACAAATTTTTAATAGGTTTGGAAATGAAAAAATATAACTTGACTTTCTCACTAGATTATTGAAATCTATCATAATTAAATTGTATTTAACAAATCATCTCAAATTCATTGTTATTAACAATATATATGATAAAAAAACTAACGTGAAAAATAATATTTAGGTTCCTTTTTCGTCTTATTATATAAAAAATATTAATGTAACCAGGTTATGCCATGATAACCATGCATGGTCTCCAAGGTATCACTCAGTTCAATTTGAAAAATATTGATATTTATAGACCCGTCATATAGATTACTTGACTCATATACCTTCACAGAGAAAATCATTCATAATATATTTGTTTGTGATTAAATAATCAACATTAAACTTGTACACACTAATATTATAGTGTTTGGTTGTTGTAGTAATATAGAAACTAAAAATATTAGTGATAATAAAAATTTGTTATTCCCCTCGTAAAATTAAGGAGACAGTTTTTATTTATTTATTATTATTATTATTATTACTTAATCACGTTCAACTATTATTACATTTATAAATTATTTATTTTCCTGTTTGAAAAAAAAACATGTGAAGTGTAAAGGATTTATGGGAAAAGATGGAAAAAAATTAAATAAGGCTAATTAAAGTCAAAAAGCTAAAATCTTAAATTCTAAAGGTTAATAAAAATATATTATATAATTGAGGAGACAGAATCAATTTTGAGTTCTTAAAAACAAAATTGAGGTCCCAAGTGAATTGATTGGGTTTAGATTTTTCTTTTCACTCCAATCCGATCTAATAAGTAAACCAATCCAAAAAATAAAAACAAAAAATTGTTTTTTTTTTTTTTCTCTTTTTCATTTATCACATTAATTCTGGTCCGTAACCTTCCAATTTATCTGCTAGAGATTGTGAACAGTGGTGGTTGCCTAAGGACACCTGTTAGGGATGACTTGGAACATAACCTTTTCATTCTAGGACTATCCCAGAGGATATTATGGGTATATTTGAAGAAATATTCAAGAATGGTCCAAAACCTCTTTTGTTTCTTTAAAAGCAGTGGTCCAAGAGTTCTAAATTATCCATAACTTCACATAAATTAATAACTAAATTAACTATTTTAATTTTGTTTTTAATATCCACTAATAATGTTTTGAGGACTTTCCATGCTAATTTATATGTTTATAGAAAAAATAAAAATTATGTTATTATTTCAATATCGTCTACCGTTGTTAATTATCAACGTCTATAATGATCACGGTACTCCAAAATCCTTTTATATTTATTTATTTATTTTGAATTTCCCAATTTTAAAACAGAATATTTTAGGGTTTCAAATTTAAAAAAAAAATACTGCTATTATTACTCAAATTTATTGTTTAGAAATTAAAAACGGAATTTACTCTATGTTTTAGAAATTAAATATATAAGTAAACTTTTTTTTCTATGTAAAACGTGTGGTTAAACTAAATAGTATAGTTTTACCATGTTGTCATTTTCAACATATATGCTTCGTTGCTAAGAAACTGCTAGGATTCGATCCAATGGTCGAAATATTCGTCTTCGACAATGATATTCACTACAGTCGAACGAGTTAACTCACGCGATAGTATAACAAAAGAGGTTATTATCTAAACAAAATTTTAATTCAAATGTACTTACCATAGATAGAATTGTATTATACAATAATTATTTTAAAACTATTGTCAGAATAATTTCTAAATAATCGACTATATATTTATATATTTTAATAAAATATCAAAGTACCCAACACACAACGGGAATATAAAATAATGAACAAGAATAAAAAGAAACTAATAATTGTAAAATATATAACATGAGTTAACAAAGATGATTTCCAACATGGTTTGGAAGCTCTAGTAAGGAAAAGAGAAAAAAGAAGTATAAGATAAAAGACGTAACTTTTTTATTTATTTATTTTGTTCAATTTGATCTCTTTATTAATAAAATACTTAATCAACTCTTTTAATTCTAAAAATACAAAATAATATAAATTATTATTATGTGTTGATTATATATTATATTAAACATAAATTAAAATCATTATTATTTATTTATTAGATATTATATTTTTAATAATAATGAAATGGAATTGATTAAAATAAATAAATAATTAAATTAAGATAAATCATAATAAAATGTTACTATCAAACAAAATGGATAAAAAAATAAAGTAAATAGAAGAAATAATTAGATACTATGAATTTAAACCTTCTTTTTTTGGTTTATCAATCATGGATCAATAATTGAAAAAGTTAGTGAATTAAGCGTGCTCATACTTTTTTTACATGCACGTGTTCAATTAGCAAATTGTTTTTTTTTTTAACAGAAATGAAGAAAGAAACTAAATAAGGTAAGATTGTGAGGTATAATTGAAGAAAAATAAGATCACTAGCAGTTAATCCTTGCATAGTGTTGGTTCCGACACAGAGATTTAAATATATTTTTTAAGAAACAAAAAGGAGAGAGAGACAGAGAAACAGAATTATTAAAGGCAACAGTAAAAGACAAAAAGGTTTAGTTGTCAAGGGGAGAGAGATCTCCATCCATTCGTGGATCTCAGTGCCCAGGTGAGGCGCGTGTTCGTTGGTTTTGTTCAAAATTTGGAAAGAGGATAGATAGCCTGGAGAGACACTTATATAGGCACCACTTCCGTTATCATTTCCTTCCTAAACCCAAACACAAACCCACTCACCATCACTGTATATTTTTTCATTCCACTTCAATTCCCTCAATCCAGAAGAAGATGAGAAACCCTTCATCAACATCAACAAGCAAGAACAAGAAGAGTGGTGCTAGTAGTACTATTGCCACCATCACCAGCAACAACAGCAACATTGGTAACAGCAGCAATGATAACAGTACCAACACCAACTCCAACAACAACACTCCATGCTGCAGCAAGGTTGGATTGAAGAGAGGACCATGGACACCTGAAGAAGATGAGGTCTTAGCCAATTACATCAAGAAAGAAGGAGAAGGGCGTTGGAGAACTCTCCCCAAGCGTGCTGGCCTTCTCCGGTGCGGTAAAAGCTGCCGTCTCCGCTGGATGAACTACCTTCGCCCCTCCGTCAAACGCGGCCACATCGCCCCTGACGAGGAAGATCTCATCCTCCGCCTCCACCGCCTCCTTGGCAATCGGTAATATCTTTGTTTAAGATTCAGGTTTAGGAATATCGTCTCATCAATCCCAGAATTAGGGTTCCTGTTCTTTCTTCTATAACTAGGGTTTAATTTATTGTAACATGTATCAGGTGGTCTTTGATTGCTGGGAGGATTCCTGGACGAACAGATAATGAAATAAAGAACTACTGGAATACCCATCTAAGTAAAAAGCTCATTAGTCAAGGGATTGATCCCAGAACTCACAAGCCTCTCAACCCACCATCCATTAATATTCCTTCTTCTACTACTACTACTTTCACTATTCATCCACCTTCTATACCTCCTCCTCCTCCAATGATTATAGCCAGCCACAACCCTTGTCACGATCTTGCTATTGTTAATCAAGGAGTTCATGCGATTCATCATTTGGGTCACCAACCTCCGGTTTCAAATCCCTATGATAACAACATTAACAATCATGTAGCTGCTGTGACAGATGATGTTTCTGCAATGGGGTTCATGGACAATGAGGATTGCAACGATGATATCAACATCAATTATTACTCAGACGATGTCTTTTCCTTCCTCAACTCCTTGATCAACGATGATGCTTTTACCGCGCAGCAACAGCAGCACGTGCAAACAGAGCTCCCCAGTGAGCGTTGCATTTCACTGCCATGTGATGATCGTGTGGATGATCCTCTGGTTTCAATCACCACTGCTTCTGCGTCGCAGGATTATGATGATGACCTTGGTGTTCTGTGGGAATCGCCTCTCGTACCTGCTGCTACTTTCAGCCAACACGGTAACGACTCCATCACCAACATGGCTCATGATCACCATCACCACCACAATCAATAGTATGTGTAGCACTGTTCTTATTGGTTAACTGTTTCTTCAAGTATCAAGTTTCCAAGAATACTGGGATTTTTTATGCATACATGTGTTGTTGTCTACCCTGTGAAAAGATGAAGAGAAAGACATTAGAGAAGTCATGAAGAAAGATCTCACATTGAACAATATCTTTGAAGCTATGGCTTTTAATGGAGCAGAATGACGTCTAATGATCCAGATAACAGATCTTACATAGTGAGATAAGATTTTATTGTTGATGTAATTGTGTTATTGTCATGGTTCCATATATGCATGCGTAGTTGCTTGTGTTGTATGATACTTTTAGTCATGGAATTGTTGAGTTTGGCGTGTTAATTGCATGACATGGTCTAGCTGTATGCAAAACATAACAGATTTATTAATGTACTATGATTTGTGTTTTAAATTATAGTACTATTTTACTTCACTTGATTAAACTAAACTTCATTCTACATCACTTATAATATAATTTTCTTCATGTTCAATTTTGATGTTCATAGTGCGAGCAAAAGATGTTTGTTTTGTTATAACAATGAGTTTTAAGATATCTACTCTGTAAATAATGCAATAAATTTAACATGCATCATGAAATTATCCATGGTTGAAAACTGAATCTAAATGTTGGAGAATAAATCAAATATCAAATGAAAAATTAAAAGCATATATAGAATGGACACCTGTAAATTAATATTAATCCAAACAATAAACAACATAATTGGTTTATACTAGAGCTATAAAAAGCTTGAGACCTTGCACTTAAGATTACTACAATCAGTCTCAGTTTCAATATTATTTGAATTAAATGCAAGTTCACACATGCACTTTTATCACTTTCTCTATGCTGAAAATATGAAATAACCTTCAAGATATATTTGACAGCGCACATATATACTTTAGGTCACAAATTTCTCCAAGATTTCAAGAAAGAAGTAAAAAGAAAGATTAAAAATAGTTTTCATACGTAAACTAATTTATATAAGTTCTTAATTTAAGTTGTGAAAAAACTAATTTCATATTTTTTTAAAATTCTTATAAAAAATTCTTAACATACCTTGAGTCATTCATTCTCCATATATTGTGTGTTGCTTGGTGAGAACTACATTGGGTGCAGCTGCACAAAGTTGAAGAACTACAAACCATTAGTTAAGAACTTACCCTTTTTTACAGCAAGAACAATTGAATGTATTTGGAACGAGTAAGTTCATTATTTTTGTATCAGCAAAAATAACACAAGTTTATATAAACGACATATTTATTGCATCACTTCTATGTTTAGTATACAATCTATTGGTCATTAAAAAAAATTATTTAAGAATATATATATATATATATATATATATATATATATATATATAAAAGAGATCTTTTACTATGTCATTAATTTTTATTTTAATAATAAATTTCATTTTAAGATTCTAAATAACTTTTATAAACTGAAACAATATATATAACTTTTTTTTATTTTGATCTTGGGAATTTTTTAATAAATATCTTGATATTTCTTTTAATATAAGATCTTAAAAATAATAAATGATGTCAGAGAGTCGAGAAAAAGCCTTTTTATTTTCTGGTGAGAAGATAAATATGTTACAAAAAGTTATGCCTATGATGATCACTAGAATCACAAACAACTTTGTGACAAAAAAAAAGGTCCCATCCTTTTAAAATGGACATGCAACGTCTTTTGTATGAAATTTTTCTTTCTCATATTACCTTTTGTTTGTATTTAATCAAACAACATCTTCTATGCAAATATATGATATAAATCAATGTTCAGGAATACCCCAAAACACCATCCATAGGAGGCAGAAACTTAAAAAATAATGCTTCATCATCTAACTTTGACAAGGGCAAACAATAAACGAATAATGTTATTAAAGCTCTCATGCGTTAAGACAATCTCAGCATTCATTTTGTTCAAATAGAGTAATTAATGGCTAAAACCATTGAAGCATGCATATTCTTAAGACCAAATCTCTATTCTGATAAAATGAGACTTATACTAACACAATATGAATGCAACCCTTGCCAAACCTGAAAAGTATTTGGATTTTTAGGCCTAAAAACTTTAATACAGTAGATTTTGTAGTATTTTTTTAGTTATATATACATGCTATTCAACTTCACCATTTCTATTTGAGCTTTCAACTCACATATAAATACTAAGAAAAACAAATGGAATGCATTGATAGTGGCTTAAATAAACACATACAGAGTTTGATTCACAGATAAAACCACATCTCTTCTAACAAATATAGTTGGAATGCCATGCAGTGACAAAACCAGCGTTGAAGGGGAAATATACAGTTCAATAGTTTTGTATTTCTTCTATCTTGGTTTGAAAAATAAAACTAAAAGAAATTTAAAATGTATACAGTTAAATTTAATGAATTGTTCTTCTGACTTCAACTATTCATCACTCAGATCTGTAGAGAAAAAAACTGCCTACTTAATGCTTATATAATAAAGGTCAACACACACAAAATGTCACACATGGATCAAAACTTGAAGTATAAGAAATTCCACAATATATATATATATATATATATATATGTATATATAATCTATGCATGTTATTCAGAGTTAAATGAAGTGTTGTATATGACATAAGAATGTAGAGAAATTATAGGTTGTGTTGGATTACCTATAAATAGGTTGCTAATGAAGGATAGTGAAATTTCTCAGATATCTTCCATTGATTTGCTACAATAATTAAAGCAAGTCTAAAAGTTAGAGGAGAAATCAATATCATCAAATAGATGCAAAGAAAAGAGCCCAGTTTGAGTCTTCAAGAAAACTATAAATATCTCAACACTTAGTTAATTGATAGAGATAAGTATTGATTACCAAAATGCTTTCTAACTTGAAATAGAAAATTATTATTGATAATATTTTCTATTTATTTTATAACATATATATATGATATGCTTCTTAAAGGTTAATTTAAAATTTAGCTTGACCTGATTTCTTATATAATCGTGCATGGTAAATTATTAATTGTATTTTATATTATATGAATTGATGTTTTCATTGGTTTAATTCTAAGTTATTGGCTATAAGTTACCATCATTCAGCTCATATTTAATCAAACTGTAAATTATTATTTTCACTTCAATAATGTGTTCGATTTTAAAATTATTAATCATAATTTATTCTTTTCTTGAAGAAATGTAAGACGATCCAACGCGATTTCGGAGATTTTTAAAGTTGTATTATTAATATACTATATTTTAAGCTATATAATATTTTAAACTTTTTTAAAAAATGTTTTTGATCACTTTAAATTTTTCAAAATTCAATATTTAGACCTTCTAAAATAATTTGTTCGTTTTTCATCTTTTAAATTTTCAAATACACTACTTTTAGTTTTCAAAATGGTTAAGAAACCCCTTTTGGATTAAAAATGTTACATTTTAAATTGAAATGATAAAAAAAAGCAAGAAAATTGAAATTATTAAAATCTAGCTTAAAAACTTTTAGAAGAGACAAAAACATATTTTACCAAAGAAAAGTTATAACCATAAATAAAAAGTTCTATATAATATATATCTAATTATGTTTTACAAAAGTCAATTTTGTAAAATTAATTAAGTTAAATTAAATTAATATTTTAAGGTAATATCAGATTTTATCTTAACAAAAATTATTCAGTTCTGCACTTAAAATATTTAATCTGTAGCATGAAATGGATCTCACTTTAATTATAAATAAAGCTAAAAATAGAGTATATTAATAGAATATAAATTTCATCTTCATAATAAATCTTATAGAATTAAATTAACATAAAACTACATTTTTAAGAATAAGAATGGATCATATTATGCATAGTCGTTTTGATGTGTTCCAATATATTGTTCTCGAAAAGTATTCTCGAACGAGTATCTTCATGACATAATTAATAAAACTAATTTTAAAACAAATACACTAAAAAATAACACTATTCCAGAACACTAAGGATGATGGTATTACTCCATATTACATGTTCCGGAACACACTGAATTGCACATATTGAAGTTGTAACAATGATTAAATGAATTTTCATATCTTCAAAGTTGATCCATGATAAAATTAGTATCTTTATTTAACCCTTTTGAAAATATTAAGAGAAAGAGGGTGTAGGGTGATATTAGAGGTTTGTAGAAAGAAGATGGCTTCTTTTATAATCAAGAGAGTGTGGCATATTCTTGGAAGGATAGAAATTAGAACCCATCTAATTTTTTTTTATGAAAAGTGTCACCATCCACCACAAGGTTCTAACACAGTACGTGCAAAATTGTAATTTTTCAAGCATCATAAGAGAAAAGCAAAATCCATTTTAGCAATTTTTTAAATTAGTATTTGATTATCTATTGTGTATCTACTACAAATAAGGAAAAAAAAAAGCACCATTTTTTAGTTTGGATCATGAGAAGAAAAGATCAAATATAGAAGTGAAGCTTATTAGATGAGAACTAATATGCTCGTACGTGTAAGAATTAAACAACTTAATAATGTAATTTTTACTATGCTAACTTATTTAACAAATAATTAGTGTATCTAATTTGAATCATTCCTTTAAAACTAGCTGATGTTAAAATTCATAAAAAAAAATTATCTTAAATGTTTTATTATGCAATCAAAATACAAAAGTCTCTTTGATGTGGATCAGTAATTGAAAGATTAAGGATTAATAAAAATAAAAGAATTCAATAAACAAAAGTAAGAGGATAAATCATTAGCAGCGATTGAATGCGTGTCAGAAACATTATATATATTTAACATCTCTTAATAAAATTGATTCACTTACCTTCCTTAGAACAATTATTAAAGTCTGACAATTTTCCAAATATGGAAGGAGACAAAAGTTTTACAAAATAATGATTTTCAACTCAACTCAGAGTCTAAATCTACCAGTCTTTGCAACTCATATTGACTTCAGCTTTGTAAACTGTTTTGACCGTTTGATTGATGGTTTTTAATTCACTTTTATACAGGCAAATTGTACTATCACAATACAGTTCATGTTTGAGAAAATATGTAGTATAAACATTACCATAGTACAAGACTTTTTCTATGGCAGAAAGAAAACCTTTATTTTGGTACGATGATTATTTTTGTACTTTAAATGTTTATTTCATACTGCACTCTCCCACCGCAAAAAAATTTCCTTTCTTTGGGAACAAAATCTTATTACCGGCATTACTTTTTTTCGCACATACATATCTTGAAAAGAACAAAAAATGATTTTTTCTTGATGAAAAAAACTGTGGGAAAATTCTATAACCAAATATTTTTCTTTACACGGAGTAATTGATGGCTTGTACAACTTGTTAAGGGGCAACATTCCATGCATAGTACAGAATTAGAAAGCAATTTATATTACAAATAATTATATAAACATTTATGTTATAAAAATAATATGTTCATATTTGATTAACTTAATATAGCAACGATGTATATTTTTACATTTAAGTGAGTCTCTTTTGTATCTTTCTCTCACCTCTCATGAACCTTTGGCCAGAAGTCTAGGCGAAATTTTTGGGGCGGGGAGCTTGCTGCTCAAAAATGAGTTTTGGCGTACTTTATCCACCAGAAACTGATGCATTAAGTCGTTTTAAAAATTAGAGATGATTATGTATATTTAGCCATTAAACAATAAAAGGGATATCCAAACGAATAATGTTCAGTATTCTATCCCAGAAACAAGCTTTGATCAACTTCAGGTGTGGCAACGAAAGTTGAACTCACGATATTGTGCAGACTATCCAAACACCTTCACCACATACCTGACCTAGTGAGTGACTCGAGATATTGTTTGAAGAATGAAAATGAATTTGAAATTTTGTATATTGTTTAGTTTCTACTGTACAATTGAAGTTCTAATTCTGTGTTTAACTTCATAAAAATGAAAAACAACCAAAAAAGTGTGAATCGCTAGGCATATTCTTATTATATTCATGTGGGGAAGAGGAAACAAATAATGATGAGGATAAATAGTAATCCAGACTAAAATGAAGGAATGGCAGAGGTACAAGTAGAGCTGGAAATTAGAACGCAGAAGCACATGCAAACAGCATTTAATTCATGGTTCATAACATAGTTGAATGGCAAGGACTCACCGGGAAACTTGTAACTTGGAGAACTGCTTACTCGGAAAAGAACAAGTTGAGCAACACACATTTTCTTGCATTCGAGAATGCCCCATCTTCATTACTCTCCTCCCAGCTAACTAAAATTGGATTTTTCCTTTAAAAATCTAAACTTTGGATCAACCAGTCAGGAAGGGGAACAGGGAAAGTTGAGAAGTGGTGGGTTGCTAGAGTTATGTAAATTTGTGTGGTGACATGTTAGGTCAGAGCAGGTGGAGTAACAGAAAATCTATGGCTATGGCAAGTTAGATGCTTGCATTGGGATTTGACTGTTAGATTTGAGAGTCCAGAACAAAGAATGAAGGATTCATTGACCAAAGTCCAAGACTAACCAAACGTTCTTCGCGCCACCCAAACCAACTTTCCTTTCAGCTATCAAAGTCCAACACTGCTTCTCTAGCGCAGTGGCAGAGATCAACGGTGCCTTTAACTTCTAACGCACAGATTTAATTAATTACTTTTGAAACTTGATTAATTCAATGTTCTAATCCACCGACAGCAAAGAAAATTAAATTCGAAAATGGAATAATAAATTATGGGAATATAATAGTTTAGAGTAAATCAGTGAACAAAATTTTACAGGAGATGGAATTATGGATACAGAATCGAAAACTAATATTAGAAGTTGTTTGACACTCGGGTTCATAAGGGGGCACCATGGTATGTTATATCTATCTTAGAATCTACAACAAAATTGTGATCCCTGAATTTTCAGGACTTATGCACATAAACTGTTTAGATATTTGGACCCGTACTAGTCAGCAAACCTTCCAAACTTCATCTTGCCTTCCTCTATGATGTCAACGTCCTTTCTTTTCTTGGATAAATTAATAGCACCTCGAGATCCATTGTGATCGTCACTAAATTGAGCAGCTGTTCGAGCTCGCAGTTCTTCCAAACTCTCACCTTCTTTCGCTCTCTCTATCACCTGAAAATAATGACTATTAGTTCTCAAATACTTGAAATCTCAACAGACTTTCTTGATACCCAATAAAGACAAGGAGTGGAGGGGCACTGTCGGGGATTCAACAAATTTCTCAAATCCAAGATTTAGTTTCACATACCAGATGCCTCCCGTAGAGGTGGGTGCTTGAAAGTGCTTTGAGGGCATATTGTGCCTCCTGCTGAGTAACATACTCTACAAAAGCAAAGCCTCTATGGCTTCCAAACTTCATTGGCAACCTTAGGCTTTTAATCTGCACAGTTTGGAGCGATCAAACATGAGTGAAAAGAAAGCAATAAAATGCAACAGAAAACTTAATATACGTGTTTTGGCTGAGATAAATAAACATATTTAGACAAAATCCACGTGAATCTCACGCATAAGGCTTCCCTTCTAGATATCAGCTAAAAGTAAGCTAAAACATGATTGAATAAAATAGTCATAAAATAACTCCTATAGTAATAGCTAAGATATCAGATCTGTTACATGTGCCTCAGTTAGGCATAAATCTCATTTCAATGATATAATATGAAACTTAGATAATTTGGATTGGAATACAAGGTACTGTACTAAAATCATGTGCAAGTCCAGGTTCATTATTCTAGACCCACTATTAACATAATTGGACATTATCATTTTAATCTGCAGTGTGGTTCATCATCAACCAACTGGCATAATATGTATTCAAATTTTGATCTGCTTGACTAAAATTCAAAACATTTACATTGGAAATAATTTGGTGAGGAAGAATGAATATTTACTAGCAATTGGAACAAATTACGGATGGCAACATGTAGTGCTTAAGTAGGATACTATAATACGTCCCCATATCAACATTTAAAAATACATACATGTACCCTTACCCATATTCACATGGGTAGCTACTTCACTAGCCGTACCCTTACCTGATGGCTATGGCCTCTCTGAAAGGTAATCTCTATCAGCAGTTAGCCATGACAGGTTAGTTACCCCATTAGTTAGTTAGATTGGTGAGTTAGATAGACTGAACACGGCATTGCCTATATATTAGTTGGAGGGGGAGAGGCAGATCAAGCTTGCTTTTGTGAGAGGATTGGGCCTTTGGGCACTGGAAGAAGAAACCCTGGATGTTCTGCACTGCGATATCTTTTCTATAAATTGGGGATTTCTCTCCTATTCTTTCTAGTAAGGGCAATTTTTGTGTGATTCTAATCCAGTTTCTATCACTTTCATTAGGCATTTGCTTGACAAATCAATAAAGCATGAATGCTGTTGAAAGTCCCACATCGCCTACCTCATATAATTTGGTATGATTTAAATACATGTTAGGCTACTCCACATATTGCCAATTGGTTTTATGTTGGAACCTTAACATGGTATCGTAGCCAAAGCCTAACATCTTTCCTAGGTTATTGTCATGGGCCAAAAGTTGCCCTTTGCCCGGTCCGCAGGCTTCGTTGGAGGGGTGTGTTGAAAGTCCCACATCGCCTACCTCATATAATTTGGTATGATTTAAATACATGTTAGGCTACTCCACATATTGCCAATTGGTTTTATGTTGGAACCTTAACAAATGCCATCATAATACTAATATTTATTAATGATGAAAAATCAATAGAAAGAGCATTGATTAAAAACAAATACGTAACTTAATTTAAGGACAGATTCAAAGATATTCCAATCTTTAATTTTTAAAAATGTGGATATTTTATGCCGGAATGAGTACAGTTGGTTATATAGCCCCCATAATTGCACTCCTACCAACAAAATTTAGTAGGTAAACAAACTACTTCTACCCCAACCCAGATTTGTTGATGGATAAGATGGATAAATACCGTAGACATTGCACGTAATTTTTAAGAGTATTCATTGGGTTTGGATCTGAATGCCATCCCTATCTCAAATTAACTCTTTAAATAGTAATTAATCACCTGGCCAAATGGGCGAAACAATCGTCTAAGATCCTTCTCTGTTGCCTCAAAAGCAACATTTTTTACGAGCAATTTTGTTGAACTCTTATCCTTCTCAGTTGTCCTTGGTTTTTGCCCATCATTCTTGACATGACAAGGTTGTAAAATAAGAGCATGGCTGTCCAAAACTGTCCCCTAGATCCGAAACACAAAAAGTAGAATTAAAAAAAATCAGAAGTAGAATTAGGATCTGAAAGTGCAAATAACATGTAAAATACCTGCAAATCTCTGCAAACATTTGTAGCAGTTTCAGGGGAGTCAAACTCAACAAATCCAAACCCCATAGAAACATTTTTCCCACTTTTCAAATGCTTCTTCACCTATTTGTGACCAACAAAAACCAAAATATGAAAAGCAACAAAACAAAATTATGAAATACAGCTAAGTCATAAAGAAACAGCAATTAGAAATATACCTTCACACTCAAAATTCTTCCCTCTTTCAGGAGTTCACTAAAATGTTTCCTCAGACTCTCATCTGTAGTCTTGAAATTTAGGTTCTTGACAAATAGGGACCGAGCCTAAAGCATAACATATTAGTTAGAAGCAACTAATTTAAAAAAAATATAGCATATTTCTACATAGTAGCACCATGATTCATAAATAAAGACAGAGATGACAAATTTCTTTTGGCATGGACTCAATAGCCCAAATTCCCAGATCACTTCACTACCATTTTAAAAAGCAGGACAGCATTATCTTTTTGAAGATAAAAATTCTCGGCATCATATTTACTAGACAGTCCATCTAAAGGATAATTTTAATCATATGATACAGGCTGAGTAGAGACTTGACATGTCAGCAACTATTTATGTATTCAAATAGAACCCTGGAACATACATAATATAAGGCAAGCACATACCTCTCCTTAAGGGAATACATATTCCTCAAGATTTATAATCAACAAAGAAAATGAAATTTTTGATACTGTTCATCGAATTTTATAAACTATAAAGTGTAGAAATGGGCCAAAAAATTTAATAAGAAAAGGTAAGGGACCTTCAAGAAAAGTTACAAATGCTTATGGGATAAATACTTATGTTAAAACAAAAAATAGAAAAAAAGAAAAGAAAAATCTTCATTTGTAAAATTAAGGGGGCTAAATATTCTTATTCCAATGTCAGTTCTTTTCAACTTTTTTAGCCTTGACTGTTGACCATAAGACTGATGTATTTTTCTAGTATTAAACAATTTTCCCGCATATTGGACTTTCATGGGTAGTAAAATGTTGAATGGGTTTCATTTTTATCCTATTTTGTTGGCACTTTCATATAAAAAGACCTAAAACATCTCCCTGCTTATGCTTATCCTGACATTATCTTTCCTTCTCTTATTCCCAAAAGACTAATGTATCAGATAAGAAAATAGAGCACAATTAGAGGAAAAGAATAACAAAAGAAAAGGATTTAATAGGACAGACCTCTACTCTGTCTGGATCAATATCCACATCTGTTAATCTTTCCACATGTTGCTCCAATATCTGCCTCTTGGCATCATTTTCACCAATTGCACCAGTCATGTCATTATTTTTAGATGTTGAACTTTGGCTAAGAATATTGGAAGGAGCCCACTCCAAGTATAATGGAGCATCCCTACATTGAATTGTATATGGAACACAATTAAATAGCCTTCAATTAGCATGGCAGAAAATTTATTTAATAGGCGATGGGACACAACACCTAGTGAATTCTCCCTTTTTTTGGAAAATGGAGGAGAGGCTGCTTTAACCTAGATTACTAATCCATCCAAGAGAAAAAAGCAAAACTGTGGCTGTATGTGGCATCTTGGGGTTACTTTTCAGTCCCAACCAACAGATTTTAGACCAGTAAATTCAAGTAAAAAAAAAAACAAAAGCCACATTACAGAGTTAAGTTTTTTATTAATCTTTGCAATAGGACCCCAAGAGTAACTAAGGTGTACGTAGGAAAGGGTAAAAGGGGGAATTAAGAAATCATAGCAAATAGAGAGGATGCAACATTATTTTGAGAATTCTGGTTTCGGAAATTTTGTCCGCGGGGGAAAGAGGGGCAGAGGAGAATATATAATGGTGGATTGCAAGAGGTAGATGATTTAGGAGACTAGAAAAATTGCCTTTGATACAGAATCAGAACCTGTGATCACTTTGATACAGACCAGGGATTTTCATTGACACAGCTTACACTTTCAGTTATATATTTCTTTTTCTCTTATGCTCTATGCCTCCTACACTCCTCCCTTAGTGTTTAACAAAGAATGAGTTCTGACAAAAGCCAATCTCATTTAATGCTTTCCATTTTCCAAACACCACAAGAAAGATAGAGCAGTAGCGCTACAGCTTGTAAACTTCAGACCTACCTAAAACATACTGCTGGCACAATAGCAATAAGTTTAATTTCTTCTTTTTTATGAAAATTTACATGTATATTCAAGTGCGAAGGAAACAATAAATTCATTCAAAGAA